ATCTATTAAGTTGAGTTAGTTTACAGTGATTACAGATTTCATGTTTTTGACCGTCATCACCTCCCTTTCACTCTGCACGCGACGGTAAATGTATTTAAAATGCTTTTTAAACTGTTGGAATTGCATCATTAGTTCATATGTGGATCGATAATAATCAATAATGGTTACAGCAGTGATTAAAGCGGAAGTCCCAACACAGAGAGAAAATGAAAGTGAGCTCTGACGCTCGTTCATATGAAGTGATCAGTGACATTTCACGTTGTTTTCACTAGAACATGGCGGCTTCAACGTGAGAACCAGACAGCCTGTGGAGAAGGGGATTCTCCTTCACCTTTTATTTTACACATCAGAGCACATATTCAGCCTGATACAGACACATATATCACATTGTATTATATTAGGACTGTAAGCCTGCAGAGTGTGGACAAACGTGTGTCAATAGATTACATATTGATAAGTAGCTATAGATAACACAAGATAACATAACATAACCTAACATAAGCCTTTATTGTGAAATTCAGTTGTTGCAGCAGCACAATGACATAAATAATCACAGATAAATACAAAAAGAAAAATTTCCCCAAAATACATTTTTATTATTATCTCTATTTATGGGGGATTATTTCTGTGCTCGTGCTTCTGCAACAGCTGGATTTCACAATAAAACGCTCCTGTTATCTTCTGACCTACGTAGGCTATCCACAGTCTGCTGCAGGGACTTTCATTCTCTCTGTGCTGGAACTTCCGCTTTATGGCACCTTCTGGACACAGCGCACTCACTCCCTTATCCTTTATTGATTATTATGAATCCACTACCACAAATGATGCAATATACGGCATCAAAAACAAACGGAATTATCAGAAAGATGCAAAATACGAAACACTGTAAACAAACAAAATTGGATAAATAAATGTTAAAATAGCCTATAATCATTATCAGTCAGGTGATTTCAATTCAATCACAACTAGAGTGTCTACTTTTCTGTTTGCCTTTAAAATCGCTATAATATTCCTATAATAACCATCGTTTCCACTATCGAATAAAAGTAAAATATTTGTGTTTGTCTGTTTGTGTTTAGAGGTTTTCTATAAAAATGCATTTTCTATGGTTTTACAAAATAGGATCATTTTTTAACATGTTTATCTGGCTTTATATTTGACCTTTGTTTTGATATTTATTCATGCTTTTATTGTGGGAGAATTTCTTTCACAGGTCAAATCGAAATGTGACAGCTTAAACCTAGTTTACGTTGTGTTTACCACAGGTGGAAACAGAAACAGGTGCGTCCTACAGTATAAAGGAGGCACTGCAGGTCTGCTCCAACACAACACCAGCACTCATCTGAACTTACTCTATACAAAGTCAATCTCTACCTTTTTGAAAATGCTCAACAGGATTTTCTTTGTGTGCCTGTCTCTCAGTCTGTACAGTGCAGGCTCCTCGCTGAGCTGCAGATGGATCATGGATCATAAATTCAGACAGCACAGTAAAAACTCTTTGGCTCTACTGGATACGATGGTAAGTGGACTTCTTATTGTTTAAAGTCAGTGAATTATCTGAACTGAATGAGTTTACTTTACTGTCTGTTTACTTCAACACATGATGTGTGTGTGTTTGTGTGTGTGATGCAGGCTAATAACTCCACTAACACCACTGAGGATGCTGAAGTGGAGGACACTGTGGCCTTCCCTAATCTTCTGTACAGACAGGCGTCCAAAGCATCAGTAAGTCATCCTCAACTTCTGTCTAAGTGAAATACAAAATATAACACGTGATTATTGATTTGTGTGGGTTGTTATATCTGTTATATATTCTTCTACTTCTTCTTCTTCCAGGCTGAGGATCAACTTGCCTTCACAGTTCAGATTCTTAATGAGACGGCTGCCCTGTTTGAGGAGGATCACAGCTCTGCATCATGGGAGGAGAACACAGTGGAAGACTTTGTCAATGTTGTAACCCGGCAGGCTGACAACCTTCGCTCCTGTGTGAGTAGAAACTTTTAGTGACACCACTGAACTGATTTCAGCTTCTATTACATTCATATACATTTCCAAGGAATTACTGATGAATGTGCCAGTTAAACAGCTCCACAGTGACTGTGTAAGGAAGATTTCTTTGAACACATTACAGGTGAAATAAACTGTTTTCTAAATATTCATTTTCTTTTAATTCATTTAGATTGGGAGCCACGGCCACAAGAAGAAGAACACAAAGCTGCACATGCACTTCAAGAGACTCTCACACCATGTCCTAAAGAAAATGGTCAGTCTATTTTATTCCTATATCATTTTGGTCTTATAGATATGAGATATTGTATTTTTGATGTTCTAATAATGCTAATATTCTTCTGTCTGTAGGGTCACAGTGCTGAAGCCTGGGAGCTGATCAGGAAAGAAATCAAAACCCATCTGATGAGAGCAGACCAGCTGGTTTCATCTCTACTCACCACCAACTAAAAGCTGTTACCTGTCAGATTAATTTATTTTATTACATAAAGTCTATCTTTTTTTAAAAATCTATTTATTGAATTAATTTTGTACTTCAATCCATTACTTGATGTTCTACACAGTATGTATGAAGTACACAACTACATGAAGTTTATTTATTTATTTTTCTATTTATTCATGCATTTATTTATCTAATTATTAAGTTTTGATTCTGCAAAATGAGAGCAGACCAGCAGGTTTCATCTCTACTTACCAAAGCTGTTATCTTTCTGTCAGATTAACAATGTGTTTATTTATTACATGTCTATTTATTTATCTATTTATTCATGTATTTATTGAATTGAGTTGTTTGTATTTTTATAAAATGTCTACACAGTCAGTATTTTTTATAAATTAAAATGTTATTATTGAAGTTTATTTATTCAAATTTTTCATACCTGCAAAAGCAAATAAAAATAAGACTTTCTCCAGCAAATGGATGTGTTTTTATTGTTTTCTCTCCTGTGACATAAACAAAAGGCATACAGATTCTTTAACATAGTGAAACAATCTTTGCTCAAGCTCTGATGAACAACCAATGTCTGTTTCTGTAGGACTGGGTCTAGTTTGCATGCTCGCCATAGTTGGCCTTATTTGGTCCAGTAAAAAGTTGTTGGTAGAGACTCGTAGCCACTCCAGATCACCGATGGAGAAATCGTCTGTGTCATGTTACCATGATAAAAGAGGTCGAGTCCAGTTCATGTGAAGCTGCCACAGGGAAAGGTCTGTGGGAGATCTCCAGTGCTGAAGTCAGTTTCGGGGTTTTTGTTTTTCTGTGGCCCTGACAAAGAGAAAGTTGACATCCTCTGAGATTTTGATGAATCTTCCTGCACGTTTGTCTCATCTCTCTGAGCCGCTGAGTTTTCTTGGTTTTTATTTCTGTTAGTTAGGTTTATGGGAGAGGGAAGAAGCACTGATCCCACGGCCCCTATTCAAGCTGCTTCTCTTGTTTTTGATTTTTATTTTGCCCATCAGACCTGTTGATTGTTTTGAATAGTTCTGACATTTTCTTATTTTATTTTTTATTATTTATCCCAAAATGGACTATTTGATTATGTTCTTTTCCAAAAGGCTGTATGAGGGATTGTAATATTCTTCCACTGAGCAGAAATGTGTTTATTAGTTTTATTATTGTTACATAAACAAAGGGGAAGCAGAATTTCTTTTTGAAAGAGTCCAATCAAACAACACACAGGAACATGTGAGGCCTCTTTCAGATTTCTACAGTAATACGATTTCTGATGATCACGTACAGTACTCACACCTAGTCAAGGTTTAAGATAGTACTGATATTAAATTGTCAGAGAATTTAAACCAAAAAAGTATTTTGAGTGCACAAGTACAATTCTTATCTTTTTTAAAATACTTTATTAAGCTTTTATTGCCTTTAATTAATAGCGATAGCTGAAGAGTGGCTCTACCAGGTGAGCTACCAGGATGCTAACCTGGTAGAGCCAATTCTAGATATTTAAAATCTCAGTTGTGTCATGATTAAAAATAAATTCATCTTGTATCTTGTATACGTAGAAATTCAAACCGGTTACATACAGTCACATACACAATCATATACAGTACAGCAAATAGTGCAATCTATATGAAGGACATTTTTCATATCGATCACAGGTCTGTTTTCCTTATGAAATTATTTACCCAACAATTCCCACCAAGAGCAAGCCATTGGCAACAGGGGCAAGGAAAAACTTCTTTTTAAGAAGCAGAAACCTCGGGCAGAGCCAGGCTCAAGGTGGGCAGCCGTCTGCCTCGACCGGTTGGGTTTAGAGAGAAAGAGAGAGAAAGGGAGAGAGGGGGGGTAGAAGGGGGTAAGAGAGGGGGGTAGAAGGGGGTAAGAGAGAGGGGTAGGAGGGGCTAAGAGAGAGGGGTAGAAGGGAGTAAGAGAGGGGGTAGAAGGGGGTAAGAGAGAGGGGTAGAAGGGAGTAAGAGAGGGGGGGTAGAAGGGAGTAAGAGAGGGGGTAAAGGGAGTAAGAGAGGGGGTAGGAGGGGGTAAGAGAGAGGGGTAGAAGGGGGTAAGAGAGGGGGGTAGAAAGGGGTAAGAGAGAAGGGTAGGAGGGGGTAAGAGAGAGGGGTAGAAGGGGGTAAGAGAGGGTAAGAGGGGAACACTGTGTTGTCCGAGCTCCTTTTTTTTCTTCCTTCCTCTATGTCCTGGGTGAGAATTCTTCCTCTGGATTAATGGGCACCATACAGGAACACGATTTTCAGTCCTCATTATGTGTCCTTTCTCAGGCTCCAAGATCACAGTCAGAGGTGGTCCATGCTCTGCTGTCACATACAGCAGTGGAGCTTCTTTTAGCTCTGGTGAGCTCAACATGAGCACTTTCGTAAGCTCTGTCATCACAGTATACAGCATAGGCCCAAACTGTGGAGCTTCTTTTAACTCTGGTGTCACAAAGAGTACTGGTCCAAACTCTGTTATCCCAGCTAACAGTGGTTCAAGCTCAGGCATCAAACTGTGTAGTAGTGCGAGCTCTGTCATCACACACTGCAGCTGCAGAAACTCAGAGTTCATCGGCAGCCCAAACTCCGTGTTCATTGTGAGCTGTAGTGAAATCTCCAACTTCACCATCAGCACTGGTCCAAGCTCCATCGCCACAGTCAAGTCCGTCTCGAAGTCCACTTGGATTTCTATCAGCGGTCCGAGCTCCATTGTTAAAGCCGGCAGTGGCCCAAGCTCCATCGTCAGTGACAGAAGTGGTCCAAGCTCCGTTGTCATAGAGAGGAGTGGTCCGAGCTCTATCACTGGAGGCAGCAACTGTCCAAGCTCTGTCTTCAAAGTCTGTAGTTGTCTCATCAGGGTCATCATCAACAGCAAAGAGTTGCTCAAAAACTGGGAAATGGCTGAAAAATAATGTGGAAGTCAAACAAAGCATTTATCCAAAATATTCCCTATCAGTAACAGCAACAATGAGGTTTATTTGATAGGATAACTTATGTAAAATATATATGAAGACTGGGGATGGGCCAATATACGATTAATTGTGACAATAAAAAAACATGAGTGACTTCAAACAGCTATCTAACTGCTGATGTACAGTCCTTTATTGATTTCTTGATTAATTTTGAATGTCTACAAGTGCCTGTCACCACATCGGAAGGTTTGACTTTCCCACTGTGTCCCCACAAGAAAAAGTTAAACCAAATACTATGGATTCCTAACAACAACAGGGAGGTCAGGTGATCTGTTATGCAATAAAAAAATGTGTTATCAGGATAGTATTGTTAATTATTTTGGCCAGGATAATGGTGACATTAAATTTTAATATTGTCCCATGCATAATCAAGTCAGGAATTTTAAAATCACACATCCTACATTGTCGCATAGACCTTTAAAGCCATATTTATAGAATCTGAACACCCTGCTGCCCCCACAGTGGTGGCATCAAAAAATACAGTGTGCAACATGCAGACTACACCATTTTTCAGTGGTACTATCTCAGTCTTTTGGAGTACAAAAACTTTGATTTGATTTGATTTACTCTCACGCCACTAGTGTTTATCTGCAGTGGGGTCCACACCAATTTCAGTGAAAAGGTCTGCCTTACCTGATCTCCTGCTCAGGGTTTTAGAAGATGATCCTTGCTGGTTTTTGTGTGAATTCCACATTGTTTTCTCTTTCGCTCTCTGTGTTTTACAACTGTCCTTCCTAGTACGCTCTATGTGTTTCATCGATACGTTTGAAGAGTTTTGTCTTTGTGTTTGTCACCTTACCTGCTGATACAGAATGTGTATAAGTTACTCTTTGTAAAGTTCTAAAAGAATGATTCTAGAACCTGATGTCATAAAAATAGAACCTTTTTTCTTTCATCTTGATTATTTTCTTTTTTTTTTTTTTACTGTATAATTAGTTAATGCTTTTATATCTATTTTTTTAGTGTGTTGTTTTTATTACCTTTTTTTATTTTTTAACTTATGTGAAGTGTCTTTGGGTTCCTAGAAAAGCGCTCTATAAATGACATGTATTATTATTTTTATTATTATTATTATTATTTGGCAATATTCTGTTTGTTACACTCATACCAATTAAACAAACTGAAGTGAATTCAACTCCAATTAAAGACACATGGCTTTGAGGTCATACTCTGTGTTCTTCCATTCTGCATAATTGGGCAGGGACCCAATTTCAAAAAATAAATATCCTAAAAGCTACAATACGTAAATTAAACCTGGGACTCGACCTCTTTGACATAGAAACATTTCAACAGACCTGTTAATCTCATATGCTCACCATCTTATATATACCACCATAATGGCTTCCAGAGGATGTATCCAAACAACTCTGGTGATCCACTGAAGTCTCCTCGATCACCACTGTGAAGTTGACTTTTGTTGTTTTGAGCAAAATATCTTTACAACTATCAGATGGATTGCCATGAAATTTGGCACAGACATTCATGTCTACCTCAGGGTGAATTGTAATAACCTTGGTGAGCCACTGATTTTTCATATAGCGCCATCTTCTGGTCAAACATTTTTATTTGCCCAGCAGTACTTTGTTTAGTGGCCTTTGTTGTTGCTCCAAAAATTTGCTGATCTGAAAATACTACGACAACCAAAGGGGAGAATGAACATTTAGTCAATTTATTTCAACAAATTACAACTTCTCGCTCAAAACACGGAATAAAAAACAGAAAAAACAAATACTTGTAGACTTATCAATACAATAGATAATGAGTAACACTAACAGTTACTTACTAGAGGCGTGTAAATCCACCAGGTGGATCTGGTTCTGTTGCATGCTCACCCGGTTCCGGTTCTGGTGCTCATTCTCCTATGCTAGCTCCTGTTCTAGTGGTTTAAACAAACCTTCCCCAGTCGGGGAAAGAGTTAACTTATAGGACCGCTAAGTGCCATAGGACACTCTGGTATTTTGTTGTCTAGCTAAATGTTGTCTATTTCTGCCACAGCAAAAGAGCATTATTATCTGTGAAACAACAGGGAATTTTATTTTTTATTTAACTTTATTTTAGGCACGTAATCTCACTGAGACACAGGGTCTCATTTACAAGAGAGTCCTCTCTTGACTCGTGTTACTGTTCAGTTTTTATTCTCTGACTGGACAATTTCATTCATTTCTGTCTTGTACCTTCAATAGGTTTAAGAACTGTGATGATCAGAATGATCCTCAGACATCAGGTATTACTGTAGAAATCTGAATGAAGCCTCGCATTTTCCTGTATGTTGTTTGATCTGACTCATTAAAAAGAAAATCTGCATGTTTTTTGTATGCAAAAGGATTTTAAAAAACCCACCCACACATTTCTATTTGCTGGAAAAAAATGTTTATTGTCTACAAATAATGTATAAAAAATATAAAAGTACATAAAATTTTGTTCAATGCTAATTAAAAAAATAAATACAGAATAAAAATGTAATAATTAGATAAATAAATACATGAATAAATAGATAAATAAATAGACTTTATGTAGTTGTGTACTTCATACTGACTGTGTAGAATATCAAGTAATCGATTGAAACACAAACAACTCAATTCAATAAATAGATAAAAAAAATAAAAAGACTTAAATAAATAAAATAAAATAAATTAATCTGACAGGTAACAGCTTTTAGTTGGTGGTGAGTAGAGATGAAACCAGCTGGTCCGCTCTCATCAGATGGGTTTTGATTTTCATTCCTGATCAACTCCCAGGCTTCAGCACTGTGGCCCTACGGACAGAAGAATATTAGCATTATTAGAACATGATAGATACTGTAGATAGATTGATACATAGAAATATAGATAGATACACAAACCTACCATTTTCTTTATGACGTGGCTTGAAAGTTTCATGAAATACATTTGTAGCTTCTTGTTAGTCTTGTGGCCGTGGCTCCCAATCTAAATGAATTACAACAACATGAATTAAAACCTGTTCATTTGGCACATGCACTATTAATGGATCCTTTCAGTCAACAGGATTTAGCATGACTGATGTTTGTCTTTAAGTTTTAAATGTAAGGGAACAAGTAAGGTTATGTTAATCCACTGAGACTCACACAGGAGCGAAGGTTGTCAGCCTGCCGGGTTACAACATTGACAAAGTCCTCCACTGTGTTCTCCTCCCATGATGCAGAGCTGTGATCCTCCTCAAACAGGGCAGCCGTCTCATTAAGAATCTGAACTGTGAAGGCAAGTTGATCCTCAGCCTGGAAGAAGAAGAAGTAGAAGAATATATAACAGATATAACAACCCACACAAATCAATAATCACGTGTTATATTTTGTATTTCACTTAGACAGAAGTTGAGGATGACTTACTGATGCTTTGGACGCCTGTCTGTACAGAAGATTAGGGAAGGCCACAGTGTCCTCCACTTCAGCATCCTCAGTGGTGTTAGTGGAGTTATTAGCCTGCATCACACACACAAACACACACACATCATGTGTTGAAGTAAACACACAGTAAAGTAAACTCATTCAGTTCAGATAATTCACTGACTTTAAACAATAAGAAGTCCACTTACCATCGTATCCAGTAGAGCCAAAGAGTTTTCACTGTGCTGTCTGAATTTATGATCCATGATCCATCTGCAGCTCAGCGAGGAGCCTGCACTGTACAGACTGAGAGACAGGCACACAAAGAAAATCCTGTTGAGCATTTTCAAAAAGGTAGAGATTGTCTTTGTATAGAGTAAATTCAGATGAGTGCTGGTTGTGTTGAGGCAGACCTGCAGTGCCTCCTTTATACTGTAGGACGCACCTGTTTCTGTTTCCACCTGTGGTAAACACAACGTGTTTTATGAGGTTTACATACATGGTTAGACATTTCGGATTTGGAGTAGTGAAAAAAATCTCCCACAATAATTGTTATTAAAAATGATCCTTTGAAAATGTGTTTCATATAGAAAACACAGTTCACTCTCTTTTGATTTTCTGATTGATTGATTTTGATTTGATTTTCTCGTCATGCGCACAAAGCGCTCAACCCTCGTGGGTTGACAAGACACCAAAAACATTCAGTTGCACTGATAAAACATTAAATGATAAAATTATAGATTATAGATAAATTATAGATTATTATAAGGCTACGTCTCAAACTAAATATTCTGTCTTCTCTCCCTCAAAAAGTTCGCTTCTTCCTTCTTGAAGCACAATTCAAGTTTTTCATGATCATCAAGCCAAAAGAGTGGCATTAAACCTTCCGGTCTGTAGGGCTAATGGGAATGTTCCTGAACGCAACTGTGTCTCTAATTTAAGTTACAGCCTACTTTACATATAGTGGAGACAATAAGTTCGTATGTTTGGTTTCTACCATATATCAACAGACCATTTTTCTCTACATGAGAAACATTTTACTCCTAATCTCCTGAATATCACAAAGCAAATTGTTCTGGAAAGTGAATGACAAAATGTTTAAATAAAATAAATATTTCAGCTCATATAAATTATATTGGAATAGGTTACTACGATGATATTTCATATATATATAGGATTATAGGAATAGTGCTGCGGGTTTTAAAGCAAAATAGAATATTTCATTTTTAAATTAAATTATCTTTGAATATCAATGAGCTGACTGATAATGATTTTAGGCTGTTTTATCTTTAAGTTGAGTTAGTTTACAGTGATTACAGATTTCATGTTTTTTGACCGTCATCACCTCCCTTTCACTCTGCACGCGACGGAAAATGTATTTAAAATGCTTTTTAAACTGTTGGAATTGCATCATTAGTCCCTATGTGGATCGATAATAATCAATAATGATTACAGCAGTGATTAAAGCGGAAGTCCCAACACAGAGAGAAAATGAAAGTGAGCTCTGACGCTCGTTCATATGAAGTGATCAGCGACATTTCACGTTGTTTTCACTAGAACATGGCGGCTTCAACGTGAGAACCAGACAGCCTGTGGAGAAGGGGATTCTCCTTCACCTTTTATTTTACACATCAGAGCACATATTCAGCCTGATACAGACACATATATCACATTGTATTATATTAGGACTGTAAGCCTGCAGAGTGTGGACAAATGTGTGTCAATAGATTACATATTGATAAGTATAGATAACACAAGATAACATAACATAACATAAGCCTTTATTGTGAAATTCAGTTGTTGCAGCAGCACAATGACATAAATAATCACAGATAAATACAAAAAGAAAAATGTCCCCAAAATACATTTTTATTATTATCTCTATTTATGGGGGATTATTTCTGTGCTCGTGCTTCTGCAACAGCTGGATTTCACAATAAAACGCTCCTGTTATCTTCTGACCTACGTAGGCTATCCACAGTCTGCTGCAGGGACTTTCATTCTCTCTGTGCTGGAACTTCCGCTTTATGGCACCTTCTGGACACAGCGCACTCACTCCCTTATCCTTTATTGATTATTATGAATCCACTACCACAAATGATGCAATATACGGCATCAAAAACAAACGGAATTATCAGAAAGATGCAAAATACGAAACACTGTAAACAAACAAAATTGGATAAATAAATGTTAAAATAGCCTATAATTATTATCAGTCAGGTGATTTCAATTCAATCACAACTAGAGTGTCTAATTTTCTGTTTGCCTTTAAAATCGCAATAATATTCCTATAATAACCATCGTTTCCACTATCGAATAAAAGTAAAATATTTGTGTTTGTCTGTTTGTGTCTAGAGGTTTTCTATAAAAATGCATTTTCTATGGTTTTACAAAATAGGATCATTTTTTAAAATGTTTATCTGGCTTTATATTTGACCTTTGTTTTGATATTTATTCATGCTTTTATTGTGGGAGAATTTCTTTCACAGGTCAAATCGAAATGTGACAGCTTAAACCTCGTTTACGTTGTGTTTACCACAGGTGGAAACAGAAACAGGTGCGTCCTACAGTATAAAGGAGGCACTGCAGGTCTGCCTCAACACAACACCAGCACTCATCTGAATTTACTCTATACAAAGACAATCTCTACCTTTTTGAAAATGCTCAACAGGATTTTCTTTGTGTGCCTGTCTCTCAGTCTGTACAGTGCAGGCTCCTCGCTGAGCTGCAGATGGATCATGGATCATAAATTCAGACAGCACAGTGAAAACTCTTTGGCTCTACTGGATACGATGGTAAGTGGACTTCTTATTGTTTAAAGTCAGTGAATTATCTGAACTGAATGAGTTTACTTTACTGTCTGTTTACTTCAACACATGATGTGTGTGTGTTTGTGTGTGTGATGCAGGCTAATAACTCCACTAACACCACTGAGGATGCTGAAGTGGAGGACACTGTGGCCTTCCCTAATCTTCTGTACAGACAGGCGTCCAAAGCATCAGTAAGTCATCCTCAACTTCTGTCTAACTGAAATACAAAATATAACACGTGATTATTGATTTGTGTGGGTTGTTATATCTGTTATATATTCTTCTACTTCTTCTTCTTCCAGGCTGAGGATCAACTTGCCTTCACAGTTCAGATTCTTAATGAGACGGCTGCCCTGTTTGAGGAGGATCACAGCTCTGCATCATGGGAGGAGAACACAGTGGAGGACTTTGTCAATGTTGTAACCCGGCAGGCTGACAACCTTCGCTCCTGTGTGAGTCTCAGTGGATTAACATAACCTTACTTGTTCCCTTACATTTAAAACTTAAAGACAAACATCAGTCGTGCTAAATCCTGTTGACTGAAAGGATCCATTAATAGTGCATGTGCCAAATGAACAGGTTTTAATTCATGTTGTTGTAATTCATTTAGATTCGGAGCCACGGCCACAAGACTAACAAGAAGCTGCAAATGTATTTCATGAAACTTTCAAGCCACGTCATAAAGAAAATGGTAGGTTTGTGTATCTATCTATATTTTTATGTATCAATCTATCTACAGTATCTATCATGTTCTAATAATGCTAATATTCTTCTGTCTGTAGGGCCACAGTGCTGAAGCCTGGGAGCTGATCAGGAAGGAAATCAAAACCCATCTGATGAGAGCGGACCAGCTGGTTTCATCTCTACTCACAACCAACTAAAAGCTGTTACCTGTCTGTTAGATTCATTTATTACATGAAGTCTTTTTATTTATTTATTTATTTATTCATCTATTTATTCATGTATTTATTGAATTGAGCTGTTTGTATTTAAATTGATGGCTTGATATTCTACAGTCAGTATTTATATAAATTATTATGTTGATTAATTTGTTGATTTATTTAAGTTTTTTTCATACCTGCAAAAAGCCAATAAAAATATGACTTTCTCCAGCAAATGGACATTTTTATTTTTTTTTTTCCCTGTTACATAAACAAAAGGCATACAGATTCTTTAATATAATCAAACAAGAACAATAGAGCATTGCTGAGGCTCTGATGAACTACAAGTGACATTTTCTCTCACAAAGATTAGTGATGAGCATGTTCTTAAATAATCAAACTGTCAAGTCTGATAAGAAAAATCATAACATAAAAAAATTATAAAATCATACACACAAACACTCTTTTTTACACACACTCAACTTTATAGAAAATAAATCTTCTTGAAGCACCAAAAATGTCAGATGTTTGATTTTTTGGAATTGTTCATTTACACTTCTGCGGACTTCTGAATAATAATCACATCTGAGAATAATTCAACCCAGACTCACTAAAAAACATAAAAACAATAGCAAATATATAGCAAGCAATTTAGACTACATAATAATAAGTATGTTGTTGCACACTTACACACAAGTACTCATTGTAACGGAATGTTTTATTTTGATTTTTAGCATCAAAAATAAAAGCTATACATTATTGTGAGGCTGTAGAGGTGAAAAGTAGTCTAGTCTCACTCCCATGGGGCCTCGGTTCCTTCAGGCTGGGCGTACACAGACAGTTCCTCATACAGACCTCCTCCACATGTCTCAATTGCCAAGCCCTGAGAGACAGAAACAAGTCAGTTTTAGTCAGTTGGTATGTATATGTGTAGTATAGTTTGTGACTATGTTTGGGCATGCTGGTACAGTTTTAATTTGCATAGTCAATGATAAAGACATGACTCAGAGATAAAGATATGCAACTAACATCTTTCGTATTATTTGTATTAGCATCTCTGCCTTGAAAAAAACATCTGAGCTTAAGAACGGCCTACAGTAAACACACATTTATTTGTCTCCAACTTCCTAGTCCCATTTAAGACGTCCTAGTAAAACAGTAATCTGTTAAGACATTTTCCCTCTTTAACAGAAGTTTGTTAGCACTTTTCTGACAAGAAGGTTTGAATACTGCAATTGCTTCAGTCCAGAAAAGTGTATGGGCCAAACAGCTACGCTAAAGCTACTTTCTACAGTTTGGGAACCAAACTCCAGAAAACAATCATCACTAGAGTCTTTAAAGTGTCTGTCGAAAGCAGACCTATTTCAGTTACTACCATATATATAGTATATTATGAATACTTCACACAAAATTTTACAGGAACTTTTTCCCTTTTTCTGCTCTTTCCTTTTTGACCATGTAAGTCAGTGTATATAGGTTATCTCCTTCCTTCAGTTGTTTTCTTCTATGTTCATATAAATACAATCTATATTTCAACCCACAAAGTCTACTTTCCAAAGTTATTGTGTCATTATTCTTATAAAAAAGCAAACTTGAGGTCCTTCCACATATCCAACTGTACAGGATATGTTCATAAATGATAAAAAACCCTAAGGGCTGCATGACGGAACAAGATACAATTGTGGTTAAGAGCTCAGTGGTGTGTGTCCTGCTGTCTGTCTGTTTGTGTCTTGCACATGTATTTTTATGTAAAGACACACAGCTGTTATGTGTCTTCTCAAATGCCACAAGTAAATGACCACCAATGACAAAAATAAATCTAATCTTTGATGAATATTTCAGTGACATAGAGACAAACCAACAAACCTCATAGATGTGATCAGTTTCAGGCTCCTCATATGTGCTGTCGTTCTGTTCCAGCTGTAAAAAAAAAAAAGAAAGAAGAAATTAAAAAAGATTAAAAATGAATGTTAGCACCCTTACACTGTGCTGTCTTGACGTGTTTTTTTGTTTGTTTTGCTGTGCTTGTTTTTTTGCATGTCTGGGCCTTTATACAGGTCTATAGTAGCTTATTCTACAGTCAGGAAGAGTACATAGAATATAAAACTATTTTATTGCCTTCATACTGAAGGTTTAGATTACTATATGGTTTTCTTGGACCCACAAAATGATACAGTATATGTCTGAATGTAAACGATTTTTACTTTTTTAACATTGCTTCTGTTTCAAAACAAAATATTTTAAAGTGGTCATAAACACTATAAACTGATAAAAGTAAAATAAAAGTATTCAAGTATTTAAAGAGATATTTTTTAAATCGTTCTTGCACAAGTAAGAAACAAATTGTCACAAATTGTTGTGTGTAATGGTGTTTTGCCTTGTCAGAGAGATAGTCAGTAGTAGTGTTAGTGAATAGGCTGGGGACAATATGAAAATTTCATATCACGATTATCTTGGCCAAAATAATTGCAATACACAATATTATTACGATTATCATGAAAATATACTTTTAAAATGGCACTAAAACATACTGGAATCACTTTATCTTACATTTTGTTAAGAAACATATTGAATTACAGATAGTAACCTCATCTCCCTGTTCTTTATTTTGGAATCTGTACTATTTCCAGACATGCGGTTTAACGTTTTTTGTTGGGGATACAACAGACAAGCGATCCTTCAGCCACGGTGACAGGCGTAGGATTTTTGAATGACTGGAAAGATGCGGGCTCCCCCTTGACTCCTTGTTCAAAATAAATCAGGGAAACCATGTCGGACTGTATGCTGGCGAGCTAAACAGCTTTTTCAAGTGAAGCTATGTGAGCATATTCATGATTATCCTGATTATCACAATATTGGAAATTCACCACGATAAATGCATGTTTATCGCGATATTCGATAATATCGTACATCCTGTGGCACTCCTGCTACCTACTGAAGAGTTACAGTAGCTGTTTCAGCTATGCAGTATGTAAAAATCCATGTAAAATGGGAAATTAAAACCAATAAAGCGGTTCATCCAGTATATTACCCAGCACTATTTGAGAAGGAATATGAATATTGTTAATGCTCATCCTCTGTTCTAGTCCTTCAAGTTCCTATGCAAGGCCTACAATAAGTAGTAGTGCAGTCTGGTAAACCACATTTGTCGGAAGTAAGTGTTTTTTTTCATTTTGTCCCTCACCAGTTTCCGTTTGCGTAGAATTATAGCAGCAATACACACAGCCAACAGCAAGCCCTGGAGGACAATGAGTACATCCTTCATCTTGCTCCTGTACAGTGTTTGGCGCCGGGCAACTTTTCCTTAGAGAGGAAAGATGTGCGTTAGTGGTGTGTAAAATGGTAGAGACCACTTCAGTAGATTACAGTAAATTACCACTCAAAGTAACTCAAATGTGTCTGCGCAAAACATATCTTGTCCAAGACTTACTGACAACTTGAACCGCAGTCCCACGTCCCCACGTTCCATTTATCTTGCAGTAGTACAGTCCTTCGTCCTTCATGTGCAGATCATTGATCCGCAGAAAGCCAGCGTCATTCATTACCTCATGAAATTTAGTCCTTTTTCCTTCCTCTATCTTTTCTTTTGTTTCATTGTACTGAGCTGCCTTGTACCAAGTGACTGTCTGGTTGGACTTTGGGGTGTATTGACAAAGAATGGTCAAACTGAGGCCGGTTTTCAAACCACAGAACCGGGGAGTCTGGCGGATCACCAGGATGTCGTTTTGGGCCACTGAGCAGACAAGAAGGAAAAAAAAAGAAAGAAAGGAAGATTGAGGGACACCGTGACACAGTTACAGCTACAGTTATTTTAAATAACACAGATTATTTAGCTATATTTTGTCCCCCCACTGTTGGTCTTACTATACTGTATGCCCCCAGTATGATGCTAGCTTTAAAATCGCATTCAGTGCCAAGAAGAGAGGTGTACCTAGTGTCGATGTGTAGAGAATATAAATGTACTATTAAGTTTAACTTAAAGTAATGGATGGTGGATGTATGATATACCTATATCAAATGTGCCCACGGTTAAAAATAAAAAACGTGATTAAAACCATTTAAGCCTGAAAGATATTTGATTTGAGTAGAAGTAACTCAAGTATTTATTGTTAAGGTAACTTCACTTAAATTAACTTAATTGTATCAATTGCATTCAGTTAATTGAAGTTACACTCATTTCTCCAAACTTATTTAAAATGTGTGATGTTTAAATTTACTCAGTTTTCTTCCACTAAAGCAAATTGTCACATTACCTGTGAAAACAGCTGATGTGCGATTAAAAACAATTTATCATTAATTGATTGTCAAAAAAGGTACAGAATTCATTTTCTGTGGTTTTTCATGTGACTGACATCAAATCTTTACACTTTGTGGGATCATTCAGAAATGTTTGGATGCATACTTATGGCTTATGATGATTAATACACGGAAATAAAAAACAAAAAAATAAAAATCTTAAGCTATACAGCATTATAATGTATAGCTTAGAATACATTTTAAAGACAACTTAAAGAAAATGAGTCAGTGGAACAAACTGGAATTATACTGCCTTAAAATACTGCACACATATACTTAAAATACTGCACACATATATTTAAAATACTGCACACATTTAAGTGCACTCCAAATAACTGAGCTGGTTCAACCGTTAATTTTTGAGTTGTGTTTAATTCATGTGAGTGAGTGACGCCAATTTAGGATTCATTTATGTTTACTTACTTCTTTTATGTTTATATTAAGATGTACTTTATGGTTTTACAGTCTGCTCAAATTATGTCTTTGTGTTTTGGGCTTACTTTATACCCATACTACTCATCTATGTTGTAAGTATCAAAAATAAGTATGCAGAGACTTACTTTTGCTTACAGTAATGAGGATGTTAATTGTAGTCATTATGATTGGAACTAATAATTGTTTTTTTTTTATTATAGATTAGTTATCTATCTTTTTAATTTGATTAATAATGTAGTCAACAAAATGTACAAAAAACACAAAAAAATGCTATTAACTATGACATTTAACCCAGAAAGGCAGGAAATACTTACATCTGACAACCTGTAATCACATTTTACTTGATAAATATTTCTGTCAATGTGTAAACTGACTCATCAATTTATCGACTACTTGTGTCAGTGCTAAACACTATGCTGTTAGTGTAGGGTGAGACAGCATTGAGCTATCATGGCCCAGCAGTTAATTCTATATTGACAGTGTAATCTCATGCTGAAACAATTAGTCGATTGATAGAAAATGAATCAAAAACAATTTTGATAATCAACTAATCATTGAGGTCGTTTATCAAGTAAGTGACATCTGCTTATTCCAGCTTCTTAAATGTAACGATTTTCTGTGTTTTCAGTTTGTATATATAATTATAAACTGGATATTTAAACTTTTTAAAAGACTTTGGCTCTGGGAAATCTTTAATGGCTACTTTTTACATTTCATTCTGACATTTCATTGACTGAACAAGTAATTATTATAACACTCATTTGTCAGATTACTCATAAGCTCAATAAGTGTTACTTGCAGCCCTAGACCAATCAACTAATTGTTTCAGGATTAGTTGTCAGATATTTTTTTTACCATCATGTCAGCCAGTAAAAAGCAATGCTTTGTGTAAATGTATGTGTAAGACAAAGCACAGGATAATATGAGTAATGCATTGGTTAATCCAACCTAAAGCTGCATCATTGTATACCAAATATATATGTCAAAGTTGTGGTTATTTTTTTGTTATGTATTTTAAATGAATCTTTTTCTTATTATCTGTTATCTCCATTATCATTCTCTGAAAGCAGATGATAAGCCTGAAATAAACTTGATGGTTAGTTCATAGAAAGGGATAACTTGGTCTAGGTATTCTGTGTATACAGTATAATAAAATAAACAAGACGACATCAGTCTTTGTCTCAGAAGACAACTTCCTCTTTCTCCCAGATGGCCAGGAAGTAAGGGTACTGTGGAGTCAAAAATAACATGCAAAACTCTTGTATGCAGTGTAGTTGTGGTTAAACAAAGACATAAAATTACAATTAAATGACTGTGTAAAGCATTATGAAATGATTTGGCAAATTATACTACTTGAGTAACATTCAGCGTTTTATTAATACCAATATTTAGCACCAAGACTGTAACTGTTATTTGCATCCTTTTAATTTTTCAGTTGCTAACTAAATCGATCATGTTTCAAAAGTTCACATTTACCTGAAATACTGATCAACGCAAGCCCACAGTATCCAGCCAGCAACCAGCGCATGATGACATGAAAAAAAAAGAAGCTTTTTCGAATGCTGATGTCCACACGTACGTCTCTCAAAATCTCTCTGCAGTCGCACCAATGTTGTGAAGAAGGAGAAGAAGTGTTTGCACCAGTGGGTGTGCTGTCTGTTACACTTGCTTTAATGTCAGGCAAATAAGGGGAAGAGCGGTTTAACGTCAGCCCAAAATATCTTGGAACAACCCACACTCTTGACATTAAAAACCTGTCCTATTTCATTCACATATGTCTCCATTGAGTTTCAATATCAATACCACAACAATACATAAGCTTGTCTATCCTAACATGCTAAATATAACAATGTGAAAGGGAAAATAATGGATATATTGACTATTGCTCTCAGTTATGGCTCAGTAAATGTGCACATATATACAAAAGGAGGCAATGTTAATTTGTATGGTAGCCACAGTGTGCACAAAAAAACAAGTTATTTTTTGGTGGAAGGACATAGGTTGCTTATTATATAGTTCTGGGTAAGAATAAGGATGGAAGGTGTCTACAATGGTATCATCTTGTCTGTAGTATCCATGCTGTAAGGTTTATATGTGACAATGTTTTCAGCCATGTTAGCAGCATCTCTATCTATGACTGGCAATTCCATGTACCTGTGTTTGGTTGGGTTAATTGGTCAATCCACCACTTTGGTCAAGCCTTAATTATTGGTACCATGTTCCAAGGCTCTGTCCTTGCTGCAGTGGCCATAATAAGTGGCCATCCTAATGATTTTAAAGACCTCTATTGCTACAAGCAGGTTAAAAATGTCTGTGGAATATCTCAACATGTACTCGATGGATGACTTTTGTGATCCCCTGACTTTTCATCTAGCCCCGTCAGCATGCTAACAAGCTAACAGGATAAACATTATACCTGCAAAACAACAGCATGTTACCACTGTCATTGCGTGCCTAAGTACAGCCCCACAGAGCTGCTGTAGCATGGATGTAGACTCTTAGTCTTGATGTCTCTATGAAACATCCACATGCAGTCAAGAGTGAAGTTTTCAGGTCAGCCAAGCTGATCACATTTCCCTAATTCCCTAAGCAAATATGCATCTTAGAGCACCTACTCATTTTTTATCTACTGCATAGAGCTTTATCACGTTTCACAGCATGTGAGCAGGAGATATATGACTGCCTCCAATCATGTAACCCTGACAGGAAATATTGTATCTCCCTTTGATAATATTTGAATCGGAGGTGACTCAGAGATCTTTCATTATGTATAAGCAGTGGTGGCTGCCCAAAAATTATTTAAATTAAACAAACGATAAGATAATTAATGGATTAGTGAATCAACGGAAAACTACAATCTATTAATCCTTTACTTTTTAATAATCAGCAGATTATTCAATAATTTAAATAGTTGTTAGGTGCAGCCCTCATTATTTGTGTTTACATCAAGGTCTCCTGGTGAAGAAAGTAACTGACAACAAACATTTGAAGAGCAACTTTCCCGCAGCCCACATCCCTCTTACGTAACCTCAGCCAATAGTGGGTAAGGCATAGCATGCAACCACAAAAATATGCAAATAAATCAGACACCCCAGCTCCTTGTTTCTTGTAAGAGGCAGTGCTTATTTCTGTCTGTTGACACTCATGCACAGAAAATAGCGACTGGGCAAGCGAGCTGTGTAATGCACTATGTAGTGCTGAAATGAGCTTCTGTTTGAGAGGCGAGATTTCAGTACTGGAGATAAAAAGATGAAAAATCAAAGAGAAGACTACAGAAAACCTAAAAGATAAGACTGACAATTATTCTATATGTTTCTTATTGCCAGCAAACCCCATGACCAGAACTAAGACTGAATTGAATCTACATTACTAACAATTATACTCAAAGCCTCAAATAGCTGATTCCTCAGTGCCATAGAGCGCCATTGTTGCCAGAAACTGTATTCTAAAATATTTTTTATTATATCATGCATCAATGAGCCACACTTCCTTCATTACTGTGAACGGACAGTTTATTTTCAGTCTGTCCCACATACACCGTCCTGCTGCTGTTAATACTCGCTGAAAGAGGAAACGTGTATTAATCTGTGGCTTAAAAATAGTCCCCTATCAATACCATGATTTAGCATTTCACACAAAAAATACACTGCACAGAGGAAAATGATACTCTTGATTGTTTTCCAATTTCACAAATCTTTTCCCAAGTTTAAATATAAAGCCTGACTGAATTGAGAGTTTATCTGTCAGTAGTGTGGCCTGTTCTCAGGTCAACCACCAGAGGGCCTAAGTGTACCGGCACACCACATTACTCAGCTACTGGCAACATAAACTCACAGCCTGCTTTTCCCTACAAGAAGTATTTTTATTCTCACAATATAGTTACAATTTTTACAATAACAAAATGATATAAATATACAATACAGAAGAAAAAAAAGAGAAAAAAATGTATATACAGGCAACACTGACTGTGGGTTTACTAGTAAAGCTCCCCATATGGCTCTCCCTCCATTAGAAATGTAAACAAAAGGAGGACACTGTGGATTTGACTGTACCATCAGAGGAGACTAAAGCTAAGTGGTGCAGCAGTGTGTCAATCTCAAATACGATTGCTGCAGGTCACATTACAGACTTCTGACAGGAACAACTGCCAAGCTGCGGCAGCAAGATAAGACAAAGATACCCCTCTTAGAGGAAACATTCATGATTTTTTTTTATCCCCCAGGGTTGATGTTAAAACAGTGCTGAACACAAACGAGAAGAGACAACCCTCTATAATCTATTGTAAAAAAAACAAACTAGAAAACTGTAAAAGTGCTTATGTTGTTTGTGTATATTCAGAGTAAGACATGTTTAATTCAGTTAAGACTTACACAACAGCAACCTACCTTTCTACATGAGGACAGACTGGAGGTGACTAGATCCACTGCGCATAAAGATTATTTCAATTTTTTCCCCGTTTTATTGTAAATAGGTATAATTATCTACACATTAGTGGGGTATTTCTTTAATTTCAGGGTCATGTATTTAACTAAACCAGCGTTCGGCTATGTGTATGTTTCAGAATTTCAGATTAAATTAAGATTAAGTCAAAAGACAAACTCTGAACTTCATCCAACCTGAGGCAAAACTTCATTTAAAATGTACAGGAAGTACAAAAGTACATGATTACTGCTATAATTAGTGTTATTTAATAGACACATATAGAAAACAGGTGAAATGAACAGGGAGCTGAGCAGTTCTGTTACGCAACCATGTTAATGTAAACATCACATATTAAGTATACAGTCACAGACAGCGTTTGAACCTAAATGCTGAGATGTAAACCGACCAAATAGAAAAATAAGTGACGGCTTGCTTTGAGTTTTGAGATCTTTGTGAGGGGACCAAATATTAGAAACAATAGACAAAACATTCATGAGACATGCATATATCAGTGATGAAGTCATCATAGAAAACAGGAAGGTCTGTGTCTTACACAACTTCTCTAACTTGACCTGGAAGGGATATAAATAGTGCAATATAAACTGGGTCTTTCTGAAAGAGCCACTCAGGGACAGATGTTAACTGCATTAGCTGGCCCGTGTTATTGTTGTTCACTAATAAAGAGAGATCAGGGTTTCACTGGTAGGCTTGGACAAATGTGAATAAGATAAGCCTTATTTTTCAGTTATTAATTCAGTCAAAACTCTAACTAATTAGCATATAGAGCCCTCATATCGACTTGATTTTTTACAAATGAAAACAAATGAAGTGACAATTGTTAGCCATGAAATAGTACAATTTCAGTGTGGCTCTCATGATGAAGTAGTGTTGTGTGCCTAATACTTTTCAATTATTGCTCTCTGTAGAGTTGGACAATAGTGCTGCATATCAGGGGGAAGCCAAAATATCTTATAATCCTATAAAGAGTAATTCAGGTGCCATGTATTGTTCATGTTACTCTTTGGGTAGAAACTGGAGCCCACAGTTTAGTTTTCTGGTAATATATTAAAAGCAAAGTTATTACTCAGATGAAGCCCTCACCCACAGGGTGCATTAAAATCCACCAGAAAATCCAATGTTGACATCCGCCATTTGAGCAGTTTTGGCCAATTTGTTTAGGATTTTTCAGAGCTTACATTTTAAGATTGATTTTTCACTAGAAAGCTATCATATCACAGATCTGTTTCACACTCAAATGATTTTGTTGCAGTTTTCTATAGCCAGTTGCATTTAGCTGAGAAATCATAATAATAATAATATTGTCCTAAAATTTGGAAACGTCAATTAAAGTACCATTTAACCCCAGCAACATAGAAAGAAAATGCATTACAGAAAAGAGGGACTTACAAGTGGTAATTGAATATTTTTATAGCCACATTAATTCTTAATCAACTATTAAACTGTTCATATAGTTTTTTACTCCCTTCCCATGTAGCATTAATTGTTATATTTACTGATGTCTATATAGCAATTACTGGTTATTATCAGAAAAAACCGTGCACTCCAGTTCCACTTTGAACCCAAAAAGACACTTAAATATTGCATGAAAAAGAGGAATTATTAAACATTCATTAACACTGTGTAACCTCTTCTTCTAATGTGGAAAATTCAGCTCCATTAGTGAGACTTTCTATCAACTGCTAACACTACTTCCTTGACTGGTGACAAACAACAAGAGGACATAATTAATTGTTAATTGTCTTCTGCTGTTTGCTATACAATTGACTCTCTCAGGTTTGCATGTAGGGTCAAGAGGTGTTGGCTGGGAGCAGAATGTAATAAAACCTCATTAGTAATTTCTACAGGTACTACCATGATATTTGGCTCAGAGGGTTCGGGATCACACTGGGCCCCTGTGTACTGCGACAGTGTCTCGGGAGTAGGAGGCTGTTGGCTTGCTAGAGTTTCTAAAGCAACCCGCTCCATCTCCTCTGCGAGGTCCACATTGCTCCCATAGAGCACTCCCATCCTTCGTGCAAGCATTCCCTCTTTTTCTGGTGGTTCACCTTCATCCTTTCTACCCATCCTCTTACAGCGGTGAATAAAAGCGGCGTGGCGTATGCAGCGTTTCAGCAGGTGATTGCGGTAAGCCCTCTGAATGACTACAGCAGCCATCTGCTCTTCCTTGTGGCGTACCGTTGTGGTGATCGGTGCAAAGGAGTCTGAGGTGGGGTTGCTGAGGATGAACTTAGCCTCAATGCTCTCCCGCATTGCTGCCATCTCCACTGTGTCTCCCAGGACCATCTGTGTGACGGCCAATAAGACGTCCAGGCAGTGGATCCTGTTCCCAATAACCAGGGGAAGATCCATTTCAATCAGGTGAAGCCGGTTGGGCTTGGCAACCCTCAGCGGCTCCTGCAAGGTATCACAAAAATCTGAGAGCTGGCTATACTCAATGAACTGAGTTCCATCTATGTCAAACTTCTCCCAAGTCTCATTGAACATCTCAAAGTCTTCCTCACAGAGCGCATCGCCACTCTCCTCCTGCGCCACATTGAAGTTCTCTAAGATGATGGCGATATACATGTTGACCACCACCAAGAACGAGATGATGATGTAGCTGCAGAAGAAGATCATGCTCATGCCCGGGTTGCCGCAGTTGCCCTTTACATCGGTGCCTGGGTTCTCAAAGTCTGGATCACAGTCTGGAGCCTCCTTGTTCAGCATTGGAAGTAAAAGCCCATCCCAGCCAGCTGAGGTTGTAATCTCAAACAGGCAGATAATGCTACCACCAAAGGTCTCAAAATTAAATATGTCATCAATTCCAGCCTCCTTTTTGACATAGGCAAAGTTTGACATGCCAAATATGGAGAAGATGAACATAATGAGGAAGAGCAGGAGACCAATATTGAATAGGGCAGGAAGTGACATCATTAGAGCGAAGAGAAGCGTCCGAATGCCCTTGGCTCCTTTAATAAGACGCAGAATCCTTCCTATTCTGGCCAGTCTGATCACTCTGAACAGAGTTGGTGACACAAAGTACTTCTCGATTATGTCTGAGAGCATCGTACCTGAAATAAAAGGAGGTAAACTAAAATTAGAGATAATATATGAACACCTGTCTGTTTTCTGTTGGTTGTTCGAAGTAATGTAATTCACAACTGTGTTCGTAATGTATTAGGTACCCACCAGCTATGGACAAGATGACCACAACAAAATCAAAAATGTTCCATCCATTGGTGAAGAAGTAGTGTCGCAGGGCAAAAAGCTTCAACACACACTCTCCAGTGAAGACAACAATGAAAGACACGTTTACTTTAAAGAGGAAATCTTCCTTCTCTGCACTTTGGTTGTCCGTCTCCACCATCATGGTGACCATATTGAGGCAGATGAGCACCATGATGAAGATGTCAAAGAACTGCTGACTGATGAAGTCAAACACCATTCCCTGGATTAGGTTCTGCAGGTCAAAGGGGGATAGGGGTTGGGAAGGTGTGAAACAGAAACACAAATCCAATAGGGTCATTTGGCCTGTTCACACCAGCAGTCTGCAGAAAAGGTCAGTGCAGAGGTCACCGGTGGCATCGTCATGCCACACATGCCAAACCGATGTGTCATTACTGAGGCTTACCTACTTTATACTTTTCAATATCAAACAAGTAGTTAAACAATAGTTTGTAGTATTTCCCAAACAATATACAGTAGCATTCAAAGGTGTCTAATTCAAGTGAATGGAAAAGTGTGTGCAAACATTTGACTGGTACTTTATAACACAAATTGCTGATATTATATATAGACGGGGGGAGTTGTAAATAAATTACATACAGTTGGACGTGGAATTGGCTTCTGTGGCTTCTTGGAACCAAGTTTCTTCATGGCATCGTAGTACTTTTTTTGTTCCTCAGTCATGAAGATCTCATCTCCAAAGTGCAGACGAAACATAAAGGTAACATCATTATTTAAATTAAGTGACATTTTTTGTGTGTTACAAAACAGAGTTTAGTTGTAATGTTAAGAAAAACATCCAATGCTTTTGTATTGGCGCAGACCAAAAAGTGATGATACTTATCTTTTTCTTTTGTTGGTTGAAATTGTCTATAATGACACCAATGAAGAGGTTGAGTGTGAAGAAAGAGCCAAAGATGATGAAGATGACAAAGTATATGTACATGTAGAGGTTGATCTCGTAAGAAGGTTGCTCCTCTACCTAAAAGGAATTAAACATTTAACATTAAACATGTTTTGAAAAAGTATTTTTTTCCTGTTACTAAATGTTTTAGCGCAGTATATTAAGTAAGTAGTATGTAAGTAAATAAGATGTGGGATTAAAGGTTATAGTGGAATATGATACTAGCCAAGAAGGGCACTTGTTGATCCAAAGACTAGACTCACTTGACCATCACCATCTGTCACATATATATTACATATATATTCAATTAACTTAAAGTGCAAGGTGGTGTTAGAAAGGGCAAGGAGAATACATTAACTCCCGGCAAATCATTTATATATATATATATATATATATATATATATATATATAATAAATATATAAAAAATATTTTGAATATTGTCCTAATAGTTATTACGTAATTTTGTAAGTACATTAATACAGAATAATAGATAAGGTGTTTGCTTTGTATACACTACTGATACATATTGCTGTACAACAAAGGGCTAACAACATATTTAATGCTAAATGTAATGTTTCAATACTATTTAATTAAACTATAATTTTAATAGGGCCAATTCATAACCAAAGTTATCTCAGGACACTAAATTAACTTAACTAACATTACTGTAAATAATAACTACCTCTCTTGAGTCAACGGCAGCATACATGATGTCCATCCAGCCTTTAAAAGTTGCCTGAAATAAGGAGAATTGTTTGGAAATATGTGTCATTGAACCTTTTTTTTTTTTTTTAAATCAAAATGTTTTTTTTTCCAAGATGTTAGAGGTGGGTAACAGCGCTCCTCACGATTTGAAGCAGGGACAGGTAGCCTTTTCCCACGTTGTCATAGTTGACTTTGACGTTGACCCAGCGGGCCTCCTGCGTGGCTTCTTTGATGGCCATGCAGTCGCTCCTGTTGTTGACCTCAGACATGGGGAAAAGCTCCTCCGTGGTGGTGTTGATGCAGCGGTAGAACTTCCCAGCAAACAGGTTGACTCCCATGATGCTGAAGATGAGCCAGAATATCAGACACACCAGAAGTACGTTGAAGATGGAGGGAATTGCTCCAACAAGAGCGTTCACCACCACCTGCCCAAAAGAGAGGACTTTGTTAGAATTAAGGAATTATAATAGAAATGTATATACATATTTCCTAGTTTATTTGTTTGTAGGAGTGAGAAACACACTTGCTTTTGCCATCAAGTTTAACCAGTACTCTTACCTCAGTCAGCTCTGTTACAGCAGCCATGGTGTAAGCATGCATTCAACACACATTGTAGGGGAAAGCCAGACAAATTATTAGGATAATGCATTAAACATCACAGCTTTTCAATCACATAAATTAGAGCTGGGTGATGTAACGGATGAAACGTTTTTAATTTCCTGTATAAAATGAATTTTAATATACCGTCGCATCACTGAAACAACTGCTGTAACTGTTCAATATTGTTTTTGGTCGGGGCAAGCTGTGTGGCGCTTATTGAGAGGGGAGCCCAATTAACTGTACCCTTCTTACTAACAGAATTAACTGTGTACCCTTCTTACTAACAGTTCTAACTTTATAACACAACAATTAACAACAATATGGTAAAAAATCTTAATCGCATCATATTAGGATTATTTTGACAGATATTACAATTTCAGTATGATTCACAATTATTGTGAGAACGATAATTTTTGCATCACAAATTTAATTTTCACTGAAAAAACAATTAAAATCATGATGATGTGAAGTTTTTTGGGAGTCTGTACCAAACAAACATGTTCTCTTACATCTAGAGGATGAGATTTGTAGGCCAGGGCATCTCAGCAGCACTACAGTACTTCATTATAATGTGTACATTTTGCAACGTCTTTGACTTGGATATCATCATATTGGGATTTTGATAATATATTGTGTAATTGCAGCCCTTACCCACAACTATCTCTCTTTTAACAAGGCAAAACACTATGGCACATCCAAATTTGTGACAATTTACTGAGAACATTAGAACATTTGAGAAATATCTCTTTGAACACTTAAATTATTTGAGTATTTTATGTCAGTTTATTGTGTATATACAACAATTAATTGAACATATATTAGTATTTTGTTTCAAAAATGAAGCAGTTATCACTAGTCGCATATCTATATATTGCAGTGTGCACAAATAAAAACTCCTTCTTATGTAGTATTGTATCATTTTGTGAGGCCAAGAAAACCTTATAGTAATCACAGCCTTGACACATGATGACAATAACATTTTTGTATACTATAAAGCTATATAAAGGCCCAGTCACATAAAGAAATACCGTGATATACCGCAAAACCATCAGATACAGATTTTTGGTCATACAGCCCAGCACTAATCTAAATCAGTGTTAGTCATGCACAATGCTCAAACGTGGTTGTACAGCCAAAAACTCACCCTCATCCCTTCAAATCTCGACAGTGCTCGAAGAGGCCTCAGTGCCCTGAGAGTTCTGAGGGATTTGATTGGTCCGAGCTCGGAGTAGCCCATCCAGTTGGCACACAAACTAATCAGGGAAATCTGTAGCAGAATCAAAACATTTCCTATTCAAGTGTTACCACGGACTTTATCTGACATAAAATGCATTTGTACGCAAGTTATGTTGAAAGTCACACAGTTAGGTCAGCATCAAAATAAGATGTCAAAAACTTACATCTACAATGAAAAAGTCTAACCAACACCAGGCGTTGGTGAAGTAGGTCTTGAAGCCATATGCGACCCATTTAAGGAGCATCTCAATGATAAAGATGTAGGTGAAAACTTTGTCAGCATACTCCAGAATAATTTTGATGGTTCGGCGTCTTTCTATGTATATGTCTTCAAAGGCCTGCCAAAACAAGATATGGGATACCTAGATACACATCCTAACAGTAATACAGTATCTTAACACTATCATAAAACAGTCAACATTTCTAAATTTGTTGCACTGATGACAGCACTCACCAGAGCTCCACTGCTGAGGAGGATCATAAAAATTATGAAGGTTTCAAACCAGTCATGCTCCACAATAGTGAAGCAAGTCCTACGGAGGTTCCACCATTTCTTGCCTTTACCTTGGGTGATGTCCGCAGTCAGACATGGCCAGCGCTTCACACAGTCTGAGGAGGGAGAGGGAAATCAAAGCTTTAGGATTACTCCTAAAAGATTTAAGATTAGATTTCAACAGCATGAGCGCTTGTACTAAAAGATGTGATTACTGCACAATTGAGAAGATAAATTCCCAGTCTGGGATTAAATGATTGTGTTTTACAGTGGTTGTTCATACTGTCAGTGAAGCAGGCCTCTGGCTCTACTGGGTCTGGCTCTTCTTCCTCTACTTCTTCTGGTTCAGGCTCAGGTGGTTGATAGTCCACTGTGCTACACACTGAAGAATCCCCATCATTCAAAGCACCCATCAGCTAGTCAAGAATTACAATTGAAGCTCGGTTATAAAAGCCACCATGCAAAATATATTACATAATCCAACTAACATACACATCAAACTGCAGATGGGGATTTTACTTGATAACAAGGATTGCTTTTGTTCTTCTGGGTCTACAGAGTTACTCACTTTGACATTTCCCGGCATACTAATTTCATCTTCTACGTTTCCCTGAAAAAGCACAGGAATAGAGAATGAAATTTTTTTAGGCATTCAAAAGCTGTAAGACAAACATATCCTGCAAGTTTCTTCTCCCAAAATATGTATTTTAGCATTTGATTAGCTTTGGGTTATTGGTTTATATCTGGGTGAGGGTTCCCCAGTGAACACAGTGTCCGCTTTCTTTCACCTGTTAAGGCGGGCCAACTTACACCTTTACCATTTTTATTAGTACACACTTTGGTGAGCTCACATAAGCTCCCATCAGCCAGAATAAGTGGAAACAGCTGTGTGGGTGTGCAGGGCTGTCGCACGATTTGTGCAATCTTAAAGGCTAATTCGTACAGATATTTTCACTTAATCTGGTTGAGGTTGCTTAGGTTAAAGTTGGGCAGAATAATGTGTGGCTGTCAAACTACATGTACAATAAGAATGATAAAACAATTTAGACAATTAGACAATTTAGACAATTAGAGTGAACCTGCTGATTGATCCCCTGTACTTACCGAGTAATGTTGATTATTTTTCTCATCTGTATTCTCTGAGTCAGCATTGTCAGCATCATCTTCGTCATCGTCATCGTCCTCGCCCAAGTTTTCAAAGTCTGACTCTCCCAGGGCGATTGGCACATTGAGACTGAACTCTCCATCCACAATAAATCCAGAAGGCCGGCCTTCAACCAAACAATTAGCTATCCCATCTGCCATTTTTAAATTCTGACTGGTGTCCAAGTGGTTCATTTCAATTCCCTCCGTTTTAGGGTCCCCATCGTCCACCGGGTCCTCATCAGGCTTCTCCTCAGACTCCTTGGGCTCTCTGCTGAGAATCTGCAGGACCGTTCGAACGATGAACGCTTTGAACCAGTCGATGCCCCGTGTGATCCTGCCAATGGCAATCTGGAGATTGTTCATCTCCCCGTCATCGTCCCCTGCTGAGAGGTTGTCTCCGCTGAACGAGCTGAGCAGCAAGGCCAGGAAGAGGTTCAACACCTGATGAAAGAAACGTGAAGGAGTGATGAAGGTAATGAGAAATATAACAACAATTTCCTTTTGTACCTAAAAACAAAAACAGTCTAACAGTCCTAATTTAGTATGCAGCCACAGTATAGGAAATATATAGAATTTTTCTGTTTATATCTGCGATCAGTGGATGATAATTAAATGATCATAACATTTGTTTCCAACATTAAGAGTATGTGAATACATTATGGTCCCACATGAATTCCATCTTGGTCTGCAGAGGGAAATTATTATTATTTTGTCTGGTGGCAAAGCTAATAGTCACTGAACGCTGAGTCAAAGTGTGCCAACATTAAACACAAGTCTGGACCAGCTCAAATACACATCACATATCAAATTGGTTCTGTGACGGCACATCGATAAATATTATGTCGTCTGCCTCCTGTTGCAGACGCAGCTATCTTTAGTTTCTAAACCTGTTAGTCAATTTCTCGGTTCCTGTTTCTTAGGTTTAGCGGGAGATCATGGTTACACGAGCCAGGGTCAGGCTGATCTCTCTCATTCCAGTGTAGGAGCTGTGAATCAGTAAAGAAGGGCTGAGGGGGAAAGGATGAGCTGCACAAAATGCACGCCCGACAGTGGTGGTGTGGAAACAGATGATGATTTTTGATAGGAGAAAAAAAAGTATTAGTGATGCACAAAATAATGCTCCATATTCTGAGAAATATCACTCAGGTTTATAGATCAGTTCTAGTAACCTGAACAGTTCTCGTAAAGGTTTAGTTTGACATTTTTGATGATAAATATAAAGTATAGTTTGACAGTATACCGGTTCACTTTCTTGCAGAGGGTTGGAGCCAATAAAACTCATGTTTCCCAGTTAAATCTGAAGCTACAGCCAGCAGCTGGTTAGCTTTGTCTAGCTTAGCTTAGTGTAAAGTCTGGAAACAGGAGGAAACAACTAGCCTGGCACAGATTAAAACAAAATCTGTCTACCAACACCTCAAGTTATGTTATGTTTTTTTAATTTAATTCGTACAAAAATACTATTTTTATACCAGGCACCGTGATTTTCTGAGCCTTTATGGTCACCATGAGGTTGCCAGGCAAGTTAGTGAGCTTTAGATTTTGTTACCGTTGGAAAGGGCCAGGATAGTTTATTCACCCTGCTTTCAGATTTGACATGACATTTATAGCTTTGAGAAAGAATATTGCATGTTATTTATCATTGTCTTAAATGTCATAAAATAATGTTAAAGGTTGAGTGGTTTTATTCTTAAAGAGAGGGATTGGAGTCAGGCAGGAAGGGAAAAACAAGGATTTCAAAAGTCAATAATGACGTCCCAAAACATGCAAGTAAAATCCACTCTACTCCCGTGGTGCTGATGGCTCAATATGATTACCTCTTCATCAATTACGGTTCAATGCGCTATCAAATGACTTTTCCTTAACACCCAGTCCCCCTGCCACCTGAGCTCTGCTCGCTCAGCTGTCTGTGTTTGTTCCCTCAGTGGCAGCATGCTTACTTGAGCCGGATCTTAGCACATACTCAAGGTCAAAACCACTGTTTGGTGGCTTAAGTCATTTGATTTAAATAGAAACCCCCTCCCGTGAATGTGTAAGTATACTATCTGCCTTCATGTCAGTGCAAATAGTGTTCATTTATGTATGAGGTGAGCGTAGACAGGAGTAAGGGAGGAGGGTTGGGGGTCAGTCTGAGACACAAAAAAGCCATGAAAATTTTGGCACAGTGGGGCCATCGCAATACTTTTGTAAGCTTGACGATGAGCCATTTCCTTTCCATTTCTATGAATAACCTAACAGGATATGGTTTTGGCTCTAGTCATTAAATATGATGCTGAAATGATGGCTGGGAGTGATCGTCTGTATTATATGTACGTCCTTGTTCAGCGAGGCCAAGAGAAAATGTCAGGGACAGTATTTCCATGCTCTAGACACTCAGGATGCTTCACTAAGTATCACAAAATCCGTTGCCTCTTCATTCAAATTAACCCATTCGCTGTATGAAAAGGTTAGTGCAACTAAATTAATTTAACAATAATCATATGAAATAATGTGTGCTGGTATTCTTTATATTATAATATGTGAACCTATGTGTTTATTGTGTAGCTTAAGCCACTTCTGATGCTCCAAAACCAAAAACATGCAATATATGTTGTGTTCTTTTTTGTTTGTTTAGGTATTACTTTACCTAAGATACTGTAATGCCCCCTGGTGGATACAAGTTTCTCCCCCAGCTGTGTCTGTCTGTCCTTGGCATCCCTCAACTGAGGGGTTAACAATAGACTGCTGAGACCACAAGCCACAAAATCTCCTGGCATTATAATAAGATAACTGTTAGATTTAGAAAGATTTTTTAAAACGGTTTGTCAGCTTTACAGCTTCACAGCAGTGACAGTTGTTCAGAGTTTGATATTGCAAGTGTAGTTGAGTGGCAGCATCTGTGAGCTCAGGAATGACCATCTACTTAAGATTTACTGTGTGCTGATATAAGCACTCAATATATAAAGTGACACACTGACAACACAGCCACAAGATAAGAATCCTCATCTATCCATTTACCCTGATCGTAAACTGAGAAACAATTATTTTTATCTAAGTGAAATTGAGCTGTGTAACATCATACAGTCTTCTCTGTTTTTATATATACCTTATATTTCATTTCAGACAACTCCCTTGGCACAGCAGGGGTGCAGACGCAGAGGACTCCAGCCAAAAAACGCTGTGGCATTTTGTAAAAACAAAATTGAAACTGGCTCAACTTTAAATGTGTGACATCGTCCAGCAGCACACTGTGCTGACCAATGGTGACTGGGATCAGTACTGAATGAATAATTGGTGCACTCACCACCAGATTTCCAATGACCATGACCATCATGAAGACCACTAAACACATCCCAGCTCCGGCCACCTCCATGCAGTCCCACATGGTCTCGATCCACTCCCCACACAGGATGCGGAACACGATGAGGAATGAGTGGAAGAAGTCGTTCATGTGCCAACGTGGCAGCTCGCAGTCTATGGAGATCTTGCACACGCAGTCTTTGTAGCTCTTGCCAAAGAGCTGCATACCCACTACGGCAAAGATGAAGACGATGATGGCCAGCACCAAAGTCAGGTTTCCTAAAGCTCCTACTGAGTTACCAATAATCTTGATCAGCATGTTGAGCGTGGGCCAGGACTTGGCTAGTTTGAAGACACGAAGCTATCTCCAACACAAGACAGACACAAATAAAGTGAGTGAATAATGATTTAGGAAGTAGTGTCATTGTGGTAAATGGATACAAAGTTCAATCATTGTTTCTCACCAGACGGAAGGACCTGAGGACAGACAGACCCTGGACATTTGCCAGCCCCAACTCCACCAGACTGAGAGTGACAATGATGCTGTCGAAAATGTTCCATCCAACTTGAAAGTAGTAGTAGGGATCCATGGCAATAAGCTTGAAGAACATTTCCGCTGTGAAGATCCCGGTGAAAACCTGTAGGGGTATACGTTTCTTTTACAGCCACTGACAAAATCAAGTCACACTTCTTCAATGCGATTTAAATTTAACGCGGCACATATTCACCAGATTCCCCACGGAGAGCATGTAGTCAAACTCCGGGGTCATGGGGTAGTGCTCCATGGCCATGAAGAGGGTGTTGAGCACGATGCAGATGGTGATGGCCAAGTCGACGAAAGGGTCCATCACCACAAAGAGCACCCACTTTTTAAAGATCACCCATTGCTCGCAGCAGTCCCACTTCAGGAACGTGTCGGCAAATTTGTACCAGCCGGGGGGGCACGGCCTCTGAGCATCCTCCAACTCTAGACAAAGACAGACAGGGAACATAATTAGGTAGTCTACTGTCATTTAAAGCATATGGGTTATAAACCACGATGCAGCTAACAGAGAGCAATGATGAGTGACATTGAAATTCATGTCTTGTCTTTGCCAAGTTATAGTTGAGCTGAAATAGCCAAAGCTTAACGCCACGAGGGCGTGACACTGAATGTTGACAGGGATTTCTCCGGCACACAATGTGATTAGCCCAACTATGCCGAGCTCAAGACAATGCTACTGTATTGGCCTTGGATAAACGAGTGCATAATGTTAACAACTGCTTGATAATCTAAGCAATTACAGCTCACATTAGAGCATCTCCTCTAAGAACCTGGAACTAAGCCTTGTGTATTTCTTCATTCCCTGGAGGAACTTGACACTTCTTGATGTTTACACCCCTACCGCTTAGCATAAAAACAGTACCTGGAAATAGACATAATGGTGTTGTGTCATCAATTTGTTTTAGTTTAACCCAACCTTGAAAATATCCTATATCCAGGGGATTCTGTATGAAAGATGCCAGGGCATTACCAATGTTGTTTTTATCTATCGCCGTTGGCACTGTACCTTCCATAGCAGCTGTAGTGAGCACAGTCAAAGCACTAGCAGTTCTGTGTGTCAGGCCTGGTTCGTCCAGATGGAGCATGCTGTGCACGGAGCCAACTGACTTCTCTCTGAGTTCATAATCTGCAGCAGACTGTAAAATATGTCGATAAATCTGTCAGTTGCAAGCTCATGAACCAGATCTGCATAAGAATTTCCATCATTGAATTGCCATTTTTTTCAGATTGCCTAACCAGATTGACTAACCTTGATCATGGTGGGTGCTCTGATCATCAGACGGGGTATGAGTCTCCCATTACAATCCTTGACAATTTCATCATGTTCAAGGCTCAGTTCGTCATCAGCCAACTCAGATGTGCTGTGATGACTAAGCGACTTCTTACTGGTCAGAGTGGCTCGGCTCCCTAGAAGCTGAGCCTTTTACAGTAGATAAAATGTACAGTACTTAATAATAACTTAATAAATAACAAATTCGGTTGCACCTTTAAATAAAGGTGAAACTTTCATTATTTTATCACTTAAACATGAAATTATGCTGCAAATTTTTGCTATAAGCCATGTCACATGGCAGCAACCACAGTCATCAAGTTAAAAAACTGCTAAACATTTAGCTTCAAACTATTATTTCTGATCTAAAAAACTGCTCTTGAGGAAGTTATGAGCATGAATCTTAAAGTAAACATAGGTATATGGTTAGCTGTCTCCTTATTGCTTGTAAAAGTTACCTGTTCCTGATTCTTGAGTTGCTCTAGTAGCCGCTGGAACTCCTCCTCTTTCTCTATGGCCTCTCGCTGAGTTGCCTGATTCTGTTCATCATAAGCCATGGCTACCACAGCCAGGATGAGGTTGATGAGGTAGAAGGAGCCCAGAAATATAATCACCACAAAGAAAAGCATGTATGTCTTACCAGCCGCCCGCAGGATCTGTGTTTGGAGCAAAAAAGAAGCTACGAGAACTAAGGACAAATTTCTTTTCATAACTTTTGATTTTAAAATGAAAAGTCAGAGGTCATAAATCGATTTGCAACTAATGAAAGAAGTGCCAACCAGCTGGAAAAGATTCTCCCAGTAGTCCTGGGTCATGAGTCTGAAGAGGGCCAGGAAGGACCAGCCAAAAGAGTCAAAACTGGTGTAGCCAAAGTTGGGGTTCCTCCCAGCCTTCATGCATGTGTATCCTTCTGGGCACTTTCTATCAAAAAAGAGTGCTACAAATCACACTCAACACCATACTATGTGATAAATGTCAGTAAGATACATTTATGTTTGAAATCAGTATGGAACCAAGACAACAGACCAGACTGACCAGACGAAATTAGCATTGTAGTCTTAATGTGGATCATACATACCCAGCATCAGAGCTGTTTCCACAAAGTAGAGCATCTGGGCTGCCTTCTAAATAATAGTGATTAACTGCAACCAAAGAAAGAAAGAAACAGTTAAATCTATTCTACTGAGGACAATATCAGCTTAAAATAATGAGATATGTGTTAAACATACCCGTGTTTTCAATATATTCAATGAAGTTGAAGGTACTGTTGGAATATGCTGTATCATTGAACCCCATGGTGTTGTTGAAGGACATAGTGTCATTAAATGTGTCGGTGGCGTTAAAGAATTCAAATGCAGTTTCATTTGTGTCGATGGGCCATCGCACACATTTCTGACGCAGATTTCCCATAAAAAGCTGAAGGCCAACGAGGGCAAAAACAGCAAGAGCAAAGACGGTCAGAATCATGACGTCCACCATTTTCTTCACTGACTGGATCAAAGCGGCAACGATGGTTTTCAAACCTGACAACATACAGTTGAGATGTCAGAGGCATATCTCAGCCCTTCAATGACAAATGATAATCAATATAACAAATAAATTATATACTATAGAGGACAGTTAATCTTGTCAACATAATGCCATTACAACATCAGGAAGTTTAAAAGAAAGTCATACACTGTCTCCTTTGTTAAATTACATCATCATACTCAGTTATATACTCAGTCACACACACAAAAATAATAAATATAAATAAATTAAAATACCAGGAATCACAGTAATTGTTTTAAGGGCTCGAAGTACACGAAATGTCCTGAGGGCTGACACATTGCCAAGGTCAACAAACTCAGTGATGTATCTGTGGAAAGACATAAAAAATGATCAAAGCTAATAAGACTCAAAATATTTTATAATAATTTCTAATTGGCTCCAGTATGAGAACTACAGTTATACAAATCTTCACAATATCAATTTTCATAATTCATAATTTGTCTCAAAAATGCTTAGTTTTCTTTTTTACTCAGGTCTGTTTAGCAGCAATTTACGCACTTAAGATTTTGATTTAATGTCAAGATAAGAAAATCAGAACCATGTTTCCTATTTCAAATGCAACTAGATAGTTGAAAAGACGTAGATGAAAGAACACTCGGACACTTACGCCATGCTGATCACCATGAAATCCAGCCAATTCCATGGATCTCGAAGGAATGTAAAAGATCCAACACAGAAACCTCTAGACAACACTTTGACTGTTGCCTCAAAGGTATAGATACCAGTAAAAACATACCTAGGAAGGAATTGTGCAACGCAAAGTTAGTATAAGTGGAATCAAATGTAACAGAGGATTTACTGAAAGCTAAACTCCAAAAAAATACTCACTCGACAGTTTTACTCCATGCTGGTGGGTTGCTCATCGTCATGAATACACAATTCGCTAGAATTGTAATCATGATGAACATGCTAAATAATTTAATTCAGTATTAAGGAAACAAACATGAACATTATATGTATAAGCAGACATTCCCCCCATTTATTCATCCAAACCTTAATGCACTCAATAATTCAAAAGCAATAATAGTTCAAAGGATATGAATGTATGAGAATTTTGATGGCTCCTCTCCTAACCAAACTAAAGGGGCTCAGAATGTAGCAAGCCGGTTCAGCATTGAACCTGAAGATTGTGTTTCCTTTGGTGATCACAATGAATGTCTGAAAAAGAGAGCGGCATTATCTGTATAAATGCAAGCCGGTGTATAGTCCAAAAGTAGTTGCTACATTTCAATAAATACTTAGTGATGACAATCTTGAAATGATACTTTAACATTTAACTGTAACATATGCATACCACGAATGAAATCGAATACATTACGTAAAGGATACTGTATGCAGCTGTAATAACTGAAATTTAAGTAATACATCCTGTCATATTTCAAGGTTATGTAAGGACGAAGTCAAGCTCCTTAAACACTAAGTGTGTTTTCATGTGAGCCCAGATGTGTTCAGACTGACTTTCTGTGCTTTGTAGAACGGGTCCAGGTCCTCCAGAGGTGTGTTGAGCAGCTCTGATGGAGGGTCTCCGTAGATCATGGGCAGACTCTTGCCCGCCTCCAGATCAGCGTGTGGGGCTGTCGACTCGTCCTCCTCATAGCCCTCTACTGCTGCGGCCTTTTTTCTTTCCTCCTCGAGCCTCTCGATCTCCGCCAGTGATTCCTGGGTGAAGGGGCGGAACGCATTGGTGCCTGGGGGAGGGAGCAGGGTCGCCATCTTCGCATCGCGAAGGGATACCGCCACACCGGGGTTTCCTTAGAAGGAGCTTGAGGGAGGACAAAAAATTATAAAGAATACAGTAGGCTTTGAGATGGGTTCTACTGAAGCATAACAAAACAGACAAAGACCATCAATTTACGCATTCTGTAACCTTAACCATTGTGACTTCAACCATAAAGCTTTTGATTTGATTTGAATACTTTAAAAACACATTAAACATTTTTTTTTGTCTTGTAATGTAGTATTTGGTTCAGTTTTTCAATCAACCACGTAAAATAATAACCTAACCCTAATTCCCAATATAAGACACCATAGCCAAAAATGGAAATGACTTATTTTGCTTATTTGTTCTGACCAACAGTCAAAAACCCAACGGTATTCAATTTACAGTGATATCAAATAGAGAAATATTGGGTATTTTCTGGGCCTCCACTTGGCAACAAAGGTTTCAGAGACATAACGGTTAATGGTCAGCACGTTAACCCCAAGGCCACAAGGCCATGGTTGGTATTTTTACTCACTAAATGAACTTAATCTGTTGCGCACTGGTGCGCTGCAGGTAAGGAAGTTAAGTCCCACCCTGGGAGTTGAAAAGCCTCAAATGGGTAAAGTGGGAAAAGATAAAGCTGATAAATCCCGACATAAATCTGAGCGGTCATGAGATGATTAATGTATTAATGAAATAAAGTTTTATTCCACAAATCTGTGTATGTTTTTGTACCCTAACCCTAATCTCTAACCCTAACCCTTCTCTGATTTTCACATAATAATAATCAATCATTTAAATGATCCAATTTTTGCAGGAACTGTATAAAACTTATCGGCATCTGAAACCTGTGATGAGGTTTCACGTGTAGACACAGCTTAGTTTTAAGCGGCCACATGCCGAAAAGGTTGGGAACAACTGTGTCTCCATAGGTGTCCTGAGTGTTGGTAATGATCATATGTTTTCGTTGCTTTGATCTGTGTCCAAAACCCTCACCCTCCCTCGTCCCTGCCCTCCACCCTGTGGCCTATATCTCTGACCCTGCGCCCCTCACGAGCACTTAAAAGTGTCAAGATGGAAACAAAATGACTAGACACACTCAGGAGAAGAGCTTGGACTTTCCCACCGTTCTAAAGAGACCATGACATTACTTGTGTACATCAGATTACTTATTAGCTTAGCAGACGCTCCATATCGGGTCCAAGTGGCATTTGCTTACATCCTTTGATGTGTTTAGCAACCAGTCTGGTTTCGTCTGAAGCGGCTAAGGTTAGGCTCCTGCGATTTAATAAAGTAGTACATTATCTAGCGTTTTTGTTGAATCAACTAAAATATACTTCAGAACAGTGCAAATATAGGATTGACCACCCATAAAACAAAATATATCACCCCTTCCCCATAAGTATTAGTCGTTTACTATTATGTAATCAGCCTGAAGGTGGTATTTTATTGACATATCAATAGCTTGGTTTGTGCAAATCTGATTAAAACCAGTTGAGAGCAACAATATCAACATGCATTTTGCAAATGTTGCATTATTGTAAGTTGAAGCTCATTAGCTTTGATATGCACAAGAAAATATTAGTATAAAACAAAAACTGGCTAGAGGTGGGCCTTAACCTAACATAAACTGATTTAAGGAAAGTTGTTTGAATACGCAGTTGTGCAGCAAAACCTCAAAAAAACAGCTCAATCAAAAGCATCGCCTTGTGGCATCACCACTTGCAATAAAGTCTATCAAACTAATTTCATTTCTACACGTTGTGAAGCGACGATACAGACTACACAAAGAATACAGACATGTCATTAACCACCAAAACATACAAACAAGCTGGTAACAGACTGTAAAAAGAGAAGCTTTCACATATATAGAAAGGCACAGAGATCAGGTTAAGCTATTCCTCAGTGATAGCCACTGATCACACACATTAATGTAGGATAATACCCCTTCAAACCACCTCACTTGAACAGAAAATTATGCATTCACACACATGTGAGGGGACGCACACGTTCACACAGATACGGTGGCTGCTCAGCTGCTACAGGCAATCAAGACGGAGCGTCGTGTTACAGAGGCCCGATGACTCTGCTCATTCCTTCTTGGCTGAGCCTTTGCTCTGTGCCTCACATCCCTCCGATAAACAGGACAGCATGCCAACTTATCTTACCGAGCTGACTCCTCTCTCTACTACCTTCTATTTTACATGGGGCCCCAAACACACTAAGCTTCCGACTCTGCACCCTTACCGGCACCCTCAACCCTGCCCAGCCCACCACCATCCCCGCTACATGACACTTGAGGTCCTTAATCCCTCTTTCATACAATCATTCCATCTTAACCCTGTCACTCATCAAAGCCCCCATCCCTAATCACTCACACACACAACTGACAGGGTTTCTTTTATCCTTAATCAGTGATACTACATCACCATTACCTTTATCCTATGAACCCAAACCTTTAGATTTATTACCAATAGCAACAGAATCTCTCTGCGCCATTCAGTCACCAGGCAACCTGGACAGGCCTACACCTACTCCCGTCACACTACCTTCCAAGCACTAGTTTCCCCCCTCATCATCCCATTTAAAAAAACCCAGCTTGGGAGCCGTGGGCCCCGCTGTACTCAATCGTGAGCCAACCTTAAAATACACATCCTGAGAATGGATGTGTTTCTCTGTGGCTTATGGGAACATTTCCTGGTTGCATTACATCACACACCGTTACTGCTGAAGCCATCAAATGTCCTTTTTTAAAAAAGCTTAGTACCTCGGTTGAACGCCTGCCAATCTCAAAACAGTCCTCTCAGAGTGGTTGTTGCCTTGTCTCTCGCGTCAGCTAGGTAAATAATACGTTTTGCCGCCGTGTTAAGTTTTGTAGCTACATTTATCAGCGTGTGTTTGTCCACACGAAAGGGCCAAGAGTACAGGCAAGGGTGCGATATTCAGTATCAGTCAAAATAGATTCTGTATATCACACTTATACTCACCATAAAACATGTCCAGGATATTAAGCCCTGTGTCAGTGGTGGAAGAATTACTCAGATACTTGTGCTTGTGCACGAGTACAGCAAACGTATCAATACAAATACTCCATTACAAGTAAGAGTCCTGCATTCTGCAAAATATTCTTACGGTATAAAGTAAAGGTATCTGCAGTAAAATGGCTACTGTGACAGATATATTATCTATAGCTGTAGCTGGTAGAGAGGGAGCTAGTTAGATACAGTCAGGTAGTTATGTCCAATGGTTTCCAAACTACGGGTCAGACCCTTCCTGAGGGTCACAAAATGAAACTGAGGGGTCGCGAGATGATTAATTGGCTCTATAATCTTTGCTTTTGTTGTGTAGTGTTGTTGCAGATTGCAACTCACTCGCTTCACCCTCCCCTTCCAAGCATGATAAACTACGGTGGCTGCAAAAAACACAAACGGCCCTGTCTAGAGCCAGTGTTTGGTTTGTCCATTATGGGCTACTGTTAAAACATGGAGGTTCAACATGGCGGACTCCACGGAAGGCGACCCGCTGGTCTGTAGCTAAAAATTACTCATTCTAAGGTAAAAAAAAAAAATCTTAATCTGCTAATTAACTAGTAGCTATATCTGTCAAATACATGAAGTAAAATGTACAATATTTACATCTAAAATGTAGAGTAGAAGTATAATAAGTAATATAAAATAGATATAACTGAGTACAAGTACCTCAAAATGTTATTTAACTACCGTTCTTGAGTTACTTGGTTACTTTCCACCGCTGGTTTGATTTTAAGAGTCTAGCTGAAGACAATCAACTCATTGCGTGACCATGCTCGTTCAGTCACACTGTGGACAGGTGGCAAACTGAGGAAGAGGGAGGGAACGTTAGATCTCTGAAGCCTTCCCCGACAGTAATATATATATCACCTTGCATGTCAGTGAAAGCCATGTGACCTGTGACATTCCAGTTGAGGATATAGACCGGGTAATGTAGACACCTCTTCGTTACACTACCCGGCCGTGGAATGCGAATGCCAATATTCACCTCCGGAAACTAACCAACTAGCTTTTGGCTTTTGTCACAGGGGCAGCACGAGTTCATACAGCGAGAGAGGTTGTGCTGATGTTTAGCTCACTTGATCTAAGATTTCTTGAGTCTCAAGCCCTCAAATTGCCCAATGTGATCAGTGAAGCATGAGAATAGCAAATTGATCTTTGTGCTTTCCTGAGACAATTCAAGCAAACCAGTGTGAAAAGTATTGAGACCACTCCCTGGATAACTGGAGATGAGCAGAAATGTTCCTCTATAGGCAAGTTGTCCTGTACTATAGCTGTGATTTTACCAAAAAACATATGAAATTGAAGTCATACTTGGTAAAACACTACAAGAACCTAATATTTCAATCAACTCTAATAACTTACTGACTTAACTCATGTGCCCTGAAGGTGGCGGGGGGTTTATAGATCACAGTCTCCTCATTATTCAGCACTAACCACTCCTGGAATGTGGTTAGGTTGTAAACAACAGATCTACAGAGCAAACAAGGGCTTTTATCCACACGCCCTTTGACATTTGCCATGCTCCTGTTCCCCCCTGTTTTCTCACGGGGGTCAAATCGCAACGCTGCAGTTCACTCTCTCTAAGCTTGCTTCAACACCCTCTCACCCACCAGTTAACCTTGTGTTTCAAAACCTATAGGGAGCCACATTAAAACCAACCTCTCCACCTGTTCCTACTCCCTGCCCTGTCATTGTATGTTGCCACCAGACACAGTTTTGCACTTCAAAATCATAGCTGCATGTGGAGTCAAACCATACTTCAAAATGATCAGCATGTTCATGGCCTCACTAACGACTCAGGGTCAAGCCCCTTTCGATGTCTTTATCAGATGTGTGCACAGTAGAGTCAGTCGCAGTATATCCCTACATGCATTATGTTGCTGCTAAGAGGACAGCTGCCGTCATTCGCGGTATGCTTCTGTCGCTGCATACCGAGGAGCTGTGAAGACCTAGCGTAATCTCCCAGTGTGCAGTCAGATGGTGAAATGGCTAACAGAGACATATAGGCCGACTGATGTATAAATCCAGACTTTTATTAGAGGACGCAGCCAAACAATGTGTCTCTGGCTCACCATGGCCAAGTTATCAGGTCTCCTGGACAATGACAGCATAATAAATACTTTAATACTAAATACTTTAACTTTCTTGGTTCACCTGGAGTTGTGTTGTTCTTTGCTATAGTTGAACGCAGCTTTCTAAACAAATTTCTGCTGCCTCAAACTGACCCATTTGGCTTTTGCACTCCCTGCACAGAAATCTGAGTAGATTACATGTGGAAGTGATATGGAGGATATTCCATCCAGCTTGTGACGGACCAGGGGGAGCTATTATCATATTCATAACACCAATCAAGTTCTTAAAAAACACAGACATCCAGGAAGGCGCTGCTCGTGTTCGAACCATCTAGTTAAAGTGAAATGTTATTTCTGTCACACTGCAGTCCGATGGGGAAAACAATGAAACTGCACCTCCAACACAATTATACTGAATTGGGGAACTGAACAAAAACAAAAGGGACATTTTGAGGGGGAAAAAAGTTGCACTTATCTTTAACCTTATTTCACCTTTTGAATACTCTGGAAAATACAGAGGCCTAGCCAGGCAGTCACATGGGCTCACTTGGTGAAAGAAACTCAAAACCGACACCTTCTGCGTCCAAGAACATGTGATGCGAGACACACAAACACACTCAGGCAGAGGTAGACCACAGAGATACATCTTTACACAATATGCATGTTGAAAGTGACAAAAAAAGTATTTTAAGCCAACTACCACATATGTGACGACAGGTGAAGGATTGTCTGAGGAGAATGCGGCACAGACGAGATTATAAATTAAAAATATTTAAGACAAATGATGCAATGTGCAATCAAAACTCACTCTAAGAACTTAAAAAACACCACCTGATGAGCCCCATCCATGTTGAAATCTGCATTGGCCCTACTGCTGGGGCTCCACTGTAGGAGCCCATCCTGTTACATTAAGAGTTGCAGATGCACTGTCCAAAGGATCTAACATGAACAGTAGCCCCCACGTCTTCCACTGCGTCCAAAGACTTGCGTTGCCTGCGTGGTGCCAGGCTGTCTCTGTAGTCCCACACCTCTGATTTGGGCAACATGGATTAACGGCAGAGAAATGGTGGGCTATGAGCATCCACAGCATCACAGTATCTTGCCCATCTGCCATGAAGACATGAGCTAAAAATAAAACTTTGGCCCTGTGGGAGGAGGCATAGTGGGGATTGAGAAGGTTGCAGAGTGTCCACACTGGGCAGTACAGCCATGTGCCTGGAGGGAGATATTCACCTGGCAGGTGGAGACATGGGCCTGTTATGATGCTCATGCGCACTTTCCCCTCTCATACTGTAGATACTGTAGCATAATAGTGTAGTAAAACACTAGTTCGCCAGTGCATGCGTGCGCCTTCACAACACAAACACGCACATGCTTCCTCATACAAACACATTTAAAAACACTGCTGAGAAGCCATAAATCTACCAAATCCAAATTTGACCTAAGCTCAATTACAGGTTCATGTTTATTATTAGAACAAAGGCGCTCACATTAAAATACGGCTTTGCGTTTCATTTCTTTCGCAGTGCAACTAATTCTTTTGAGTGCCAAAAGAAAAGCTTTTTACTACCACAAATTTACTTCAAATGAAAACGGCTCTTCACCCAAAAGCCAAACGATTCCCCGTCACTCGATAGGAAACTGTGCAAGTTTAAGTTTCACCACAGTCCAAATGAGAAGGAAAAAAACAATGAAACCATTACACAAAATAGCCACATTATAATACAATGTTATCCAGAGAATAATAAAATAAACAGCAAACTCACGACCAGTGAAGACAAAATAAAACCAAAGCCACTCGGAACCTGCAAGTGAAAACCGTTCAGCCTGCAGCCTGACACTTTCTGAGGTTCATGCAGCTCATCTTTAGGCTCATGGCAAGACCACAGACGGCAAGTGGCGGGTTTACCTTGCACAGCAAAGCAAATATTTCCCCAGAATCCAAGAAACTTGAAAAAAAAAAATAAAGATCAAGTCTCCCGTCAAGCCTTACGCTGAGGGCGTAATTCTCCCCCTCTGGCAGCCTGCGCGGGGCTGCAGGACAGCTGTTGCTGACGCAGTGGTGTCCTGCAGTGAAACCGGAGGAGTTGCTCCAGGTAGGATCAGATCAGACCTTTGACACTTCGGCAAAAACGGAACCGCTTCCCGTTCCCACACAGCTGGTCAATCCTGCAAGCATTTCCGTCGGTCAGGCGCATTTACAACTTTTGTCACCGAGTAAAGTCAGTGAGCGCAGATGAAATAACGTCCTGCTGCTGCTGCTGCTGCTGCTGGGGCTACCGAGGATCTCTGAGCGCAGATCCCCCTCAGCTTTAACTGTTTTTATTCTGCTGATCCGCCTGCAAGAGCTGCTTCAGAAATGTTAAAATGTATTCATTATTTTATTGTTGTAATGCAGATTGTTATGTATGTTTCATTAAATATTTCTCTCCGTTTATTAATTTATGAATTATTGATAATTCGTGTGCCGTTATTATAAAGTGTAAATCGTTCCTAACTCATGCACAGACTGAGTATTTGAGTTCTTGTTTGTTGCGTTTTTGAATATAGTCTATTATTGAATAGTCCATGTGAGAGCAGTTGGCAATAGATCTGTGATACAGCAGCCTTTTTGTGAATCTTAACACAGAGAAATGTGAAGAGTTGGCTTTAATATTTCTAAGGATTAAAGTTGTGTCCGTGTTTGTCAGGTGATGAGTTTGTATTTTCTTCTTTCTGTCTTTTTCAGAAAGAAGTTGAAGGAGATGGGGTGAAATGTGTGGATAATGATGACCTTTCTTTTAGTCAGGAGGAGGGAAATTATGAGAACTTTCTTGTGTGTTTGACGATTTCTGATAAACAAGCTTATACAAACAGTTTGTCAAATGTCCAACTATAACTTATGCTTACAACAAAGTTTTTGCACAAATAATTAGAACAGAAACACGTCCTATAAGCCCAATACTAGACATTAATAAAAGTATTAAGAATTGTTTTAGATCCTCTAAAAGTTGCTGTTGCTGATACAACCACTAGAGGGCAGCATCATGTTTATTTAGTCCTTCTATTCAAACCTATACAGTGTTTTGTTTCTGTTGGTAACTCTTGATATCTCTAACCTAAAAATCTTTTGTGATTACAGTTACATGTTCACAAGGCAGAAAAGTGGGCAAAAACTATTTAAGGACCAAAATCTGATGTTTTGATGTAGAAATGATAGAAACAATCCCCTAAATGATGTTGGAGTGTAGCTGTCAAATGTCAAAATATGCATATTTTTATTTACATTTGCTCAAATAACCTCTCTATATGCAGTGATAGGGACAGGGCTGCATCAGTGCACTGATTGGGTGAGTCCTCCTGTCGTCGTGAAGGCTATATTTGGCTGAAAGGTGTGTAGTATGATTATACAAGGAAAATGATATCTGTGATTACAAATGTTAACTGGGTGTCATCTGTTTCTTGGAAATGGAGCCTGCTGCAAATTTTCCCACCTTCTCCTCTCCCATGTGAGTAAACTGCCCCAGTTTCAGGACAGGGTGGATGTAAAATTACATTAAAGAGCCTAGGCTTTGTCACTATCAAATATATTAAGCATATATGAAACAAAAATGGCCCACAGCGCTGAAACTGCCCTTGGTGGCGTTCTTCTTAACTCTGCTGCCAGGATTTGAGTGCTGCTTTTGAGGCATATAAAGTGTGTGATGTGTAAACATACAGTATATGTGGTGGGTCTACTGGGTAAACTGCGGGACATCTTTTCATTTTTTTCACCCCCCCATTGGTCGCATTGCAGAAAACAGATATAATATTTAAAATATTTCACTTTCAGTAAAATTAGAGTAAAAAAAGATTTAAGATTACTGTAAAGCTGACTGAAACATTCAAGACACTAATCCTTATGATTCAGATTAAACACCTTGCTTCACCCAATAATGACTCCAAATCTGCTTTAGTAACTGAAAAATCTTAATCTTAAGATGTTGAAAAAGTGCAATTTTTGTATTCAACTTGTTGTGTCTCCTCAATTTATGTGTGACTATGTTTGCCTCAATACCATTTTATCATTTATGTTTGGTTTATTTCATTTTTTTTTTCATACCTACTTTATTTAGACACATTTAGGCATATTGTATTTCATATATATATACTATTCTAGTATGTTTATTCTAATCTATTTTTTAATGCATATAGTATAAACTAATGAGTAACAGGATACCAGACAACTGTCACTCTTGGGTTTATTATAATGATAATAAGGTTGTTTTTTTTAGTAGCAGTAGACTAGCAGTATCAGTAGTAGTATTAGTAGTAGTATTAGTATTAGCATTAGTATTAGTAGTAGCAGTAGTAGTATTAATAATAGCAGTAGTATTAGTATTAGTATTAATAATAGTATTAGTATTAGTATTAGTATTAATAATAGCAGTAGTATTAGTATTAGTATTAATAATAGCAGTAGTAGTATTAATAATAGTAGTAGTATTAGTATTAGTATTAGTATTAATAATAGCAGTAGTATTAGTATTAGTATTAATAATAGCAGTAGTATTAGTATTAGTATTAATAATAGCGGTAGTAGTATTAATAAGAGCAGTAGTATTAGTATTAGTATTAGTATTAATAATAGCAGTAGTATTAGTATTAGTATTAATAATAGCAGTAGTATTAGTATTAGTATTAATAATAGCAGTAGTAGTATTAATAAGAGCAGTAGTATTAGTATTAGTATTAGTATTAATAATAGCAGTAGTATTAGTATTAGTATTAATAATAGCAGTAGTATTAGTATTAGTATTAATAATAGCAGTAGTAGTATTAATAAGAGCAGTAGTATTAGTATTAGTATTAGTATTAATAATAGCAGTAGTATTAGTATTAGTATTAATAATAGCAGTAGTATTAGTATTAGTATTAATAATAGCAGTAGTAGTATTAATAATAGCAATAGTATTAGTATTAGTATTAATAATAGCAGTAGTATTAGTATTAGTATTAATAATAGCAGTAGTATTAGTATTAGTATTAATAATAGTATTAGTATTAGTATTAGTATTAATAATAGCAGTAGTATTAGTATTAGTATTAATAATAGCAGTAGTATTAGTATTAGTATTAATAATAGCGTAGTAGTATTAATAATAGCAGTAGTATTAGTATTAGTATTAGTATTAATAATAGCAGTAGTATTAGTATTAGTATTAGTATTAGTATTAATAATAGCAGTAGTATTAGTATTAGTATTAATAATAGCAGTAGTAGTATTAATAATAGCAATAGTATTAGTATTAGTATTAGTATTAATAATAGCAGTAGTATTAGTATTAGTATTAATAATAGTAGTAGTATTAGTATTAGTATTAGTATTAATAATAGCAGTAGTATTAGTATTAGTATTAGTATTAATAATAGCAGTAGTATTAGTATTAGTATTAGTATTAATAATAGCAGTAGTGTATTAATAATAGCAGTAGTATTAGTATTAGTATTAGTATTAATAATAGCAGTAGTATTAGTATTAATAATAGTATTAGTATTAATAATAGCGGTAGTGGTATCAACGGAAGTAGGAACCTTTTTAAAAGAATTGAGGGGAGCATTAACTACGTGACACCGTTACCATGGAGACGCAACTGCTACGTCCGGACGCTCGGTGAAAAGGGTTTGTTTTGGTAACGTCTTTATCCTTGTTTTGTGGCTATATTGGTAAATTAGTTGTTACATTAAGCTTATTATATTAATAATACGCAGTACAAATAAAACTAAATACCGTGTAGCTGAATATTAACTTAAAATAGCTCATTTTCCAATAGTAACTTATATGTTAACCATTCATGGAGTTCATATAAGTTGTGTTTCGATTATGTACGCAGGATAAAAAAAAAAAAAACATGGACTCTGAGTATGTGAAAAGACATCTGGGAAAATGTCTGGCCGACGGACTGGCTGAAGTGGCCGAGCAGAGGCCGGTGGACCCCATCCTCTATCTCGCCCACTGGCTGCACAAGTACAACGAAAACGTTCAATATGAGGCAGAGGTAAGCTGCTGTGTTGTTTCATTGTCAGTAGGGGGCGGCATCACACAACTATGTGTCAACCCCCCTTCATTTAAAGTCCGTTTGAAAATGTAGTTTAACACACCAATGGAAATTATAAGTACAACCAAGTAGTGGTCTTAAGTAACGTTACAAGTCTGAGTATTACGTTACATTTATTCAATAGCTAGTGACTATACACTGCAGATTAAACCAATAAAATGATCCTATAATGATATTTGGTCCACCTCTGCCAGCTCCAACATTAGCGTACTGCTTACATGTTAATTAATTTGTAATAATAATCGTGATATAATCCTGACAGGGGTCTGCCAGTTACATTGGTAGTTTAAATCAGCTATAATCAATATTTTTTTATAAGAACAAGTGGCAATACCCCACGGAAACACTGCTATTAAACTGCTAGTACTAAAGCTACTTATACCTCCACTACCACTACTACTACTACTACTACTACTACCTCAAAGCCCTGATCTTCAGATAGGTTTTGAGAACTGCAGTAAAGGATGACACAGACTTAGACAGTCTAAGCTCCTCAGGCTGAGCGCAATAAAGCTTATTGGGGCTGTAGCAACGTCACCTTTTACCTTCAGCTCAGATTCAGAAACTGCTAACAGAGCATGCAATGTCTGGAGATCTACTGCTGCCACAAGTTCATAATAAATGAAAGGTCAAAGGGTCAAACCCTTTATAAGCTTTAAAAGGTGTCAATTTTTTGTAAAACTGTAGGTTTCAGGCGTGCTAAAAACAATAAAGTAGGGCCACAATCAAAAGCCTGTTGTTTTATTTGCAGAAAAAGGCCCATTTGGCTATCCTGGAGCAGGAGCGGGCGAAAGCCAGAGAGGAGGCGTTGTACCAGGAGAAGCTGAAGGAGGAGGAGCGAAAGATCACCGAGGCCCTGGAAGACTCTAAAAAAGTATGTTATGTGTCGAAATCGGTGTAACAGTCAGTTACCTCCTTCAGTCTAAAACCTCCTTCTAAACCAGTTTTCTTGTTCCGCTGGAGCAACTGATGTTTTAATTTCTGTAGTTTGAGTCTAGTTTTATCACAATTAGACTTTAGAAGGTGAATGATAAAGTTAATTTGAAACAAAGACCAAGAGTTTGGAGGAAAATCAGACAAAGAGAGAAGAGAGGAAGGAAGAAAAACAAAGGTATTACTGTAATATACTCCACTTACATTTGCTCCCATTGGAGTACATTTGAACATCTTTTTAACACTTTACTTGACATTTTGAGCAAAATCCTTCAAGAGCATGTCAACATCACCACATCAACAGATCTCTGAGAAGGAGCTTACGGGGTCAGATGCACCCACGCCAGCCACAACAGGATCTGCTGAGGACAACAAACCTGTGACAGTAGAGAAACCAAACACCCCTGATCCAGAAGACCTGCAGGGCCCAGACGAACGCCAAACTGAAGCTCTGAAAAATGACACTGAACCGGAGGTGATAAAATCTCAAATCTGTGTGCTTCTGGTGGTGGTGCCTCCTTGATCTTTTGCAATCACTTCTGGTTTGGTCTTCTGTGAGCTTTGGTCCTGATTCATGACCGTTACCGAGGTCTTTTCGGTGGCGGGGCAGAGTACTATGATTATTCTAAAGCATGACTTGCCTCATATGGTGTGGAAATACAGTCATCAAATGGTTTAAGGAGATGATGTGTCTGCCAGGGGACAGGTACAGATAATGTAACCAGTCCAGAGCCACCTGAGAGAAGACCAGTGGAGGCCAGTAGCTCTTCCCTCTCTGAGGCCCTCAGCACTGAGGTCAAAGAGGAGTCTGCAGAAATGCCTGTTGAAAAAACCGAAGTGGAGCCGAGGAGCGATGAAGCAGAAGAGAAAACAGAGGTGGAGCCAAGTGACAATCATGTAGAGGAGAAAACGGCAAGCACCAATGAAATAGAAGTGAAAGAAGTTGACCAAGAGGAAAAGGTGATGAGACACTGTAGTACCTGGATTATTTAGTGTTAACATTTCATTCATAACAAATAAAAAAGTAAGTCAGGGTTAACCTGAAACACTTGTGACAGCTGCTTATGTTTCACTGTGACGCTAAAATGTTTAAATTACATATTATTCTGTCTCACAACTGCTCTTCAGGTGGTTGATCAAGCTGCCACTGCTGAATCTGAGCAGACTGATACACTGCACTCGACTCCCGGCGGAGACGCTGATGACTTAAAAACAGACAAAACAGAAGAGCTTCATGACAAACCGAGCCCTCGTTCCCCAGACCAGCAAGACACAGAGAAGGTGATGCTGCTGCAATGCAGGTCAAGTGCTGCTGATTTAGGTTGCCATGTGTATAGACTGAGGATGCAAGAGATGCAGGATAAAGAGACAGGAAGAACAAAGCATAGATGAACAGAGTGGTAAAGAAGATTTGAGGCAAAGTGAGCTGAAGAGATTAAACATTACAGATGATGACAGGAGAAAACAGCAGCTGAGAAGAGTGAGAGTAAGTAAGAAAAGGTTGCATGTGTTCAGGTGAAGAAGATACAGGCAGGTCTGAACAGAGTAAATATACGTGTCTACCAAATTTTTGCACTGTTTCACCAGCAGGTTGATGAAAATGAAACTGGTCATTTGGAGTCAGACCCACAGAGTGAAGGTCTCAAACCAGAGGAGACGTTTTCTACCGAAGAACAGACGACAGAAACTGAACAGGAGACACAGAAATCAGGTTCTCTGCCTCTGCAGGACCAGGAAAAGGTGGCTGATTTTTGTAGAATGTTTCTATCTTTGGATTACTTTGACACAGCAAATAAGTAAAAGCAAGTCCAGAGGAGGCAGCGGTGATGAGTTTGAGAACCAAGCAGCAGTAGACAGTCAGCCAGAGGGAAGACTCTGATGAGGATCTGTAGATAGAAATGCAAAGACACATTTGTTTAATGCTTAACCAGAACTGTTCTGGCCACCTCATCTCAGGAGGCAGACGGGCAACGCACAAGCGAGACCGCTGATAGCTCGGCTCCAGCTGACAGAGACGCAACAGTGGAGGAGACAGCGTCCAGCGAGAGACCCGTGACTTCACCCGGGGGAACCGAAAACCCTCCTCCTGACATGGAACATGTCCAGGAGAAGGTAGACCCCGTAGGCCAGCTGGCAACGAGAGAAAGAGAGAGAAAATTAATAAAATAGTTTATTTCAAATGTGAAAATAATCCCACAAACAGGGCCTGGACTAAACTGATCTTAGTTTATACAGTTACACTCAAGATAGTTGGCATTTTTATAGTGTCACTGGTGAATAAGTTGTAACTAAGCTTTATGTTGCTTTACAGGAAGAAGAAAAAGAAGCAGACCAGGCGTGATCAAGTCAGTGCTGTTTGATGTTCCACTGATCCAACGTGTAGTTTAGCTTCAATATACATGTAATTTGTTTGATATAAATGTACAAAAATAAGTGTTAACTAAAGAATAAACATTCATCACCATACATTTCTGTGTTTCTGTGTGATTAAACTCCATCACAGCAGGGAAGGTGTGAAAATGAGGGTTTTAGTGTGATGAAGGTTCATGTGACTCATTTGCAGTAAAAGCCATTAAATCCACTTTATTTTAGAAATAAAGGAACAGATTGCAACACTTTCTTTTATTGTGCAAGCCTGCAATGTGTGATATTTTGGGGAATGACTGTGCAGATTTTTTGGTTTTCCTCGGTGACTTTTGAGCCGAAGGAGGAGGGCCAACGTCTTTTTCTACGGTTGTCTTCCCGCTGCAGACTCGATGACGGCGTCGCTGATCAAACTCAGCTGCGTCTGATCAGGTCGTCTGATCGGTATCTCGGTCCAAAGGGGGGAAGGTTGGGTCTGAGTAACGCTGGGAGGGTCAACTTTAGCTGGAATATAAAAGCGCTTTTATCCGCGGTGCAGGCGCAGAGAAGTTGTTGCTCCCGTGGTAGGAATGCAAGATGCATTAAATCAAAACGGACAGAAAGGAGAAATGGCAATGGGACTCGTCGCCAACGCGGTGGCCACCATCGGGGGCCTCATCCATGGTGTTACGAACTTCTTCACCAATCTGTTCCTGACACCACCGATGAAGGCCACTCTGAAGCATTTGGAGGACACTGAACTGAAAACTCTGAAAGGAGGTGAGTCAGAGCTTGTTTTTCTCCACAAAATCAGTTATTAAAAGATTGGTTGTTCTTTGGTTAAGTGGTGTGGGTGTGTTGAAAGGAGCTTATTGTTTAGTTGGAATGCGTTCTGCGTTCAGTCTGTTGCTCAACTCTTCTCTCTTTCACCCTTTTGCCTCATTTCGTCACTCAGAAATAAAGACCCTGAAAGCCAGATCACTGTGGGAGAGGTCTGGAGCTGTGATCATGGCAGTGCGGCGACCTGGATGATTTTTGTGCAGAGAGGTAATATACAGTGTCTGAGAGGACAGTCCTAGTCCTTACTGAGGCTGAATGTCTTTATGAAATAAGTTATTGGCCTCATTAAAATCCCTAACTTCTCCTTTCTACTCTTATTTCCCCTTAAGTAGCTGAAAGTCATCTTAGTCCACACAGTGTCTGTCATATTGGCTGTATCCAAACTGTATGGTGTTTACACACATATCCTAGACTCAGTGTTTCATCTTGTAAACATTACCCAAAATCTATCCTGACATATTTGGTCGTTTTGGGATCAACTACAATTTAACATTCAGTTCTGTCGGCGGTTTTTAATGTTGAGTGAGTTTGTAATGACCCATCAACCTGTGGGGCAGTGGGGTTTATTTAATACATTTGTGTTTAGAACTCTGATTTTATTCATCTCCAGCGGTGAACTCAGTCGCCCATGCACAGTGACAAATAATAAAAGACACAATTCATATTGAAGACATACTGCTACAGTCCACAACATATATATTCCCTGACACGAGGAGCCTGCTTAGCTGCTAAGGTAAATGGCAATATAAATACAATGAATCCATTAAGTGTAAGTAATGCATCCAAAAAACCCCACTAAAATAGGCAATGCATACAAAATATAACTTTATGTAATAACCTCAATACACAAAACAAAACCTTAAAAAAAAAAAAAACTAAATTTAAAAACAAACTATCTCAAATGTTTTAATTTACAGCTGGATTGTATCTATTCACCGTTTGATGTGTGCAGTGCCTTTGCATTTGTAGTACATACACAGTAAGCTGTTCATCTGACTGTTTTATATCCCCCATTGGCTGCAGGAGGCTGCAGAGCTGTCCTCTCTGAAACCCCAGCTGGATGAGCTGGGGGTCCCTCTGTACGCTGTGGTGAAGGAGGACGTCGGCACCGAGGTCCAGAACTTCAGACCGTACTTCAAGGGGGAGATTTTCTTGGATGAGAAGGTGGGACTGTTTTGTTTTCTGTAATGAATCGGTGCATTGTGTGGTCAGTTTCCCCCTGATACTGAGGAGATGGAACACATCTTCAGAACTGGCTGTAGCCAGTTTTTTCCACCATGACTTCTTGCAAACACACTGAAGTCATTCAGGATCTGTGGGAAATGGGTTTAAGTCTGCATGAATGATTAAAAGTCTTTGGTTTGTCTTCTTGTTTTGCAGAGGCGTTTTTATGGGCCCCGTGAGCGGAAGATGGGTCTCCTGAGTTTCTTGCGTGTCGGGGTGTGGATGAACGGCCTGAGGGCCTTTAAGAACGGCTTTGTGGGAAACGTTTTGGGAGAGGGCTTCGTCCTCGGCGGGGTCTTTGTTATTGGAAGAGGAGAGCAGGTAAAACCTCTACAATCTACTTGACAAGAATTTTTCTAACAGTAACAATAAGTTGAATAGTAAAATCCATGTATTACACACACAGGTGGAGATATATAATTTATATTTTGTTAGAGGAAAAACATTGTTTTATTGTCCCGCAGGGAATACTTCTGGAGCACAGAGAGATTGAATTTGGAGATAAAGTCAACATTTTAGACGTCATCCGAGCTGCCAGAAGAATATCACAAGAACTTCTGTCTTTAGAGAAGAAATAAGGCTTTCTATTACCAATGGTGGATAATGTCATATCTGTTTATAAAAAAACATGCAGTTAATCACCTTAACATACCAATATCTTTCAGATAAAGTTTAGAACCATAAAATACATTAAAAAAAAATACACATGACAAATAAATAAAAAATCTAAAGTTAACATTTAGTGTGTAGGGAAAAAAAATCTTTGTAAAGTGCACATTGTGAGTTTGTTGGTGTACTGGTCTCTGGGGGGGAACCAGGATGCATTTTGGGGGTATGACCGTGTAGTAATAGGCTGAATGTGTTAATGATGGTCTGTCTTTAAACTCAAGAGAGCAAGCAGACCTGATGCCTGACACTCAGTTTCCTGTAGTACTCTGTGATACTGTTGTGTATCTTGGGAGCCAAGAACCGGTGACCTTTTGACCAATAAATCATGCATTTGTGCACCACAGTTTGTTTTTTTTTATTATTCACTGCTTTGAAGAAGTTGTTCACATGTTGGACTTCCTTAGAAGGCGTCTGAATTCCAGTGGCAAGAGGGTGGGACCGTTTTCAGAGCCAACATCACCATGCAACACCAGTCTGGTTTCATGCAGGGGCTTCTTTCAAATTTTGTAATATGAGAACTTCTGTCCAATTCACACAAGACCAGACACTTTTTGGTGTGTTTGCGTTGCAGTAGCTGGACCAGAATTACAGTCTGGAGTTTTCAGCTCTCACCAAAACAGCTATGGAAACTGCTTACTATTCCTTTGTTTTAAAATAATACTATAATCGAAGCACATTCAGGGTGTGTAATTCAGGATTTAGTAACATAAAATTAACTTTACCTGCTTTTCCTGTGGGTCTACTTTGCTCTAGAACCCACCGGATATATTGATTGGTTGATAATATTATCCATTATTGACCTATTTTAGACACATGCTGCTCTTTATCTGTGTAGGTGTTATCTGATATGACCATTTTTTCAGTATACACCCATCAACCAGTTATGCAGCCCCACATGCAACAAACTTTAATGTTCTTTTCAGTTCTTGGACCACTTTTGATCGGTACTGACCACTGCAGACCGGGAACACCCAACAAGAGCTGCCGTTTTGGAGATGCTCTGACCCAGTCGTCTAGCCATCACAACGTGTCCCTTGTCAAAGTCGCTCAAATCCTCACTCGTGCCCATTTTTCCTGCTTCTAACACATCAACTTTGGGGACAAAAGGTTCACTTGCTGTCTGATATAGCCCACCCACTGACAGGCACCATAATAACGAGAATCAGTGTTACTCACTTCACCAGTCAGTGGTCATGTTATGGCTGATTGGTGTATAATGCAGATAGAAATGCTTGTGATGGTTCAGAGTAATGGAGAAGAAGCTGCTCTCAGTAATGTCAACTAGAAATGGTTGAAGAATATTTAACTTAGAGGTCCAGTGTGTAACATTTAGGAGGCTCTATTGGCAGAAATGGAATATAATATTTAATGGTATGTTTTCATTAATGTATTATCACCTGAGTATATTAACTCTGCTAAATGAGCTCTCTTGCAAGTTAAAACAGGAGAAAAGAGAGAACAGTTACAGGGAAAACAGGTCTTGCTGGAGTCGTTATTTGGGATACCGTAGCACTGCTCTTCATCCTAGAGGGGAAGATTTTTGATGTTTGGTATGTGGCTCTGGCAGTTGTGGCCACACTGATAGTTGTGGTGGCCCTTGCCAACACAAACTTATACCTGATGGAGTCAGCCCCGGCCTCTCTGGAAGAAGTTGGAACCCGCTGATCTTCAGATAACATCAGGAGTTCACAAACAATGTTGTAGACAAAAACACATTAGCACAGTTTATATTTTAGCACGTTTTTGCTTTAAATGTAACTTTGTCTGCCAGCGTCTCCAACAAAAAGAAATCATGTTCAGTTAATGTGTATGTTTGATTCTGCAGATGGGAGTGAAAGGACAGACATTATGGGAGAGAAATGCAGCAGTGATTCAGGTTATGAGGTGTCCTGGCTGTACCTTGTATAGAGAGGTACTGTATGCATGTGTTTGTATTAATATCTTCTATTTGTGTTTGTACTGAATGTGTGAGATATAATACACATTCGTATACTTACAAGTTGTAGATATATTCAGTATTGTCCACTAATGTTGCTAAAAGTGAAATGATGCACTTTTATGTGTCAATTGTTTTGAAGTAGAAAAAAAAACACAGTATTGGATATTTTAGTAGTGGGAAAGAGGCTAAAAACTTAAAAACAGGATACATCTGTCCTTGATCTATTCATGTAACTCATAATGGTTCAACATCTGTTCTCATCGCTTGTGTCTGCCATTGTTCTTCTTTCA